TGTTCCGTTCCTCCAGCGCTTTTAATTCTCTGTCCATGGCTTCACGCCATTTCTCCCTGTGTTCCCCCCCCAGAGCCTGTTGAACTGTCGCAGGCTCCTTAGGAATGGCTGAGCCGTGGACTGCGGTGACGAGGCCGAGAATTTGCAGTCCACTCTGTGAGTAGCGGGGGAGTGTGGTGTCCTCGGGATAGACTGCTTCGTCTCCCGTTTCTGGTGTTGGATTGAAGTTCGGTCCTACTCGTTCTGCTTCGTTGGTGTTGACCCGTGCAGGTGTAACGTAACCATTGTCGGCGAATTCGTAGAAGACTTCGGCGTTGACGCTTTCGCGAGGGTTTTCTTCGTCCATTGGGATGTCCACGGAGCAGTAAGGGAGAGGTCCGGCTGCTTCCGAGGCTCCTTCCACGTTCTGCTCGTCCCAGTCAGCTTCGTCTTCTGCCGAGGCGAAGGCTCGGTGCCCATGAAATCCGCCCGAGAGGTCAGGTCTGTTTTCTTCGATGTACATGAGGTGAGCTCTGAGGGTGAGGTTTTCGTAGAAAACGACATCACGTGCTGCTACTGTTTCCTTGCTGTTGATGTCGAAGATTTTCCACGCGTTGTAATGTTTTGCGATGCCCAGGTGTAGTCCCCACTGTGCGCGTTGAGAGAATCGCCCAGCTCGTGCAGATGGAGGTCGGTACTGTACCATGCAGCCGAAGACTCTCAACATTTTTGTGCTGCCCAATTTCCCTGTCCACAGCAGATGCGGTGATGCGTTGTTCGGGAGCGATGATGACGAAAGCAAGTTGTGCAGCATGACGGCGTGGTCCATCGCTTCGGGCCACTGGTGGTTGGGCAGGTGCATGCCACGTAGCAGCTTGCGCATGGTGGCTTGCAGCGTCCTGTTCATCCTTTCTGCTACGCCTTGCTGTTGGTGAGCGTAGGGAAGGGAGATGAGCCTCTTGATTCCTCTTTCTGCCAAGTACTGCTTGAACCTCTGTGAGGTGTATTCTCCTCCCCCGTCTAACTAAAAAATTTTTAGTTTGGCTCCCGATTCCCGTTCTGCGACTGGAAGCCAGGCGACAAAGGCTTCGAAAGCCATGTCGCGACTTGGAAGGTTTAGGTGCCAGACATATCTGGTTGCGGCGTCGATGAAGGTGATGGTGTAGCTGTAGGCGTTTTGTCCGGGTTCACGGTTGTATAAGATGTCGCTGTACACCTTTTCGAGAGGTGTGTACGCAGGTGCGCTTGGATTGTGATGCGAGACGAACGGCTGATGCGGTAAGTCAGCTTCAGGACAGGTGAAGCATGTTCCACGTGCTCGTTGAAGTTCTCTGCCGTCGGTCAGTAGAAGTGAGTCTTTGTCGAGCACTCCTGCTCTTATCGTGTTATTTAACACTGTGTTGCTTGGATGTCCCATTCTTGCGTGCCAGGTACCTTCAGTGGCGCGATGTCCGGGTGACCGTCGATACAGATCCGAGTTGGAGTAGAAGCCGGCAGTGACGTTGGTGCTTCGGTGGACTTCTCGTGGTGCCGGTTTTAACTGTTGTGCGGGTGTCGGTGGCGAATCGTCGATGAAGATTGGTGCCGTTGAAGGACCAGCGATTGGTGTCGATGTTGTCGCTGCTGCTGCTGATGTTGTTTCTGCTGCTGCTGATGTTGTCTCTGCTGCTGCCGATGTTGTCTCTGCTGCTGCCGATGTTGTCTCTGCTGCTGCCGATGTTGTCTCTGCTGCTGCCGATGTTGTCTCTGCTACTGCCGATGTTTGTTGGATTGTTGCTAACGCCCTTGTTCTCTCTGTTTCAGGAATGGTGTGTGAGTGCCAGAAGCCGCCGGGGCTGAAGTTGGGTTCAAGATCTGGAGGATGTGTCCAAGGAGCAAAGCTGACGATGCCGTCGCTGTCAGCGGTGCCGAGGTCTGGTACGAAGTCAAGAACGAAGACGTTGTTCTTGAGGATTGCCTTTCCGATGTAGAGGCCGCCTTTTCCGTGGTACAGCTTGAACTCCTGGGTGGTGCTGTCTGCTTCGAGGTGAATGCCTTTCGCCATCAACTGACTGACGCTCAGTAAGTTGTAACCGAGACCTTCTGCGATTAAGACTTTGGTCATTTGTAGAATCACACTTGTTTCTCGTGACTGAAGTTGTACCACTCCTTGTCGTCGTGTGCGCAGGTTTTGGTTGTTGAAGTTGATACTCTCGTTGTACGAAGCGTCCTGAGGAGCACATGTGCTGTCCGCAGCAACTGTCCAAGAACCATGTGTCCTTCCCGGATGGTTCACTCTGGGCGATAGCGGCGTATGTCGGGTTCGGCTGCAGTGACTCGCGGCGGGGTGTGCTGTTGTCGAGCTGTTCTTCCGGTGAGTAGTGTGGTGGTGATTCAGTGACGCAGGAGTCGGTCAGTTTTGCCATACAACTGACGATGTTCCTTGTTCCTTGCGCAGGTTGTCCCGCAGGTGGTGTTGAGGCTTGAATCTGGGTCGTGGGATTCGCTTGCGTTGAGGCAACTTGGCTGCTTGAAGGTCGAAGCTGTCGCTGTTGTGGCGTTGACTGTTGTCGATTCGGGCAGTGTGTGCGCGGGTGCCCTGACGTCTTGCAGATATGGCAGAACGGAGGTACGTGCTTCTGTTGTTGTCGGTTGTTGTTGTTGTTGTTGTAGCGTCGCTGAGTGTGGAACGCGAACTCTAGTACTGATGTCTTTTTCTTGTGTCGCTCTTCTTGCAGGTCCATGTCTTGCTGCTCAGCATGTATTTCGGCGCAGAGCGCTGCTTCGGAGATTCTTCCGTGGGCTCGGAGAATGGCTTTTGTTGCGCGCCATTGAGGACCGAGGCCGCCGATGATGACTGTCACGAAGGCGTCTTCAGAGATCGACCCTCCGCATCGAAGAAGCTTGTCGCGCAGTTCGCGACATCGGCTGACATATGCCATCCCTTTTTCGCCTGGTTTCATTTCAACTGTTGTCAGTTGCGCCATTAGCCGACTTTGACTGACGCTGTCTGTTGCTTGATACAGGTCCTTGAGGTGCTTGTACGCGAGTTCCGCGGAGTTGCCGAATCCCCGGTAAGACCGTATGTTCTGCTGCTGAGTTGGGGTGATATTTCTCAGCAGGATCGTGTACGCCATCATCGACTGATATGTGTACTGCTGCTTCTCATACTGTGTGCCGTTTGTTGGGTATGGCAGGGACCCGTCGAAGAAGCCAAGTATCTGCGCGCCTTCCATCATCAGCTCGAATTCGAACGACCAGGTAAAAAGGTCTTTCCCGTCGAAGGGCCTTGACGTCTGCAGCTTCAAGACGTGCGCGAATTGCGACTGGACTTGTAGTGCATCCAGTTGTTTTTCTTGTCCAGATGGAGCTTGCGGGTGCGGCATGAAGCTGATGGACCCGCGTTCGTACGGAGCGAAGGTAGGTTGTTGCTGATTCCCGCGCGCATATGATGAACCATCAAGACTCATTGGAGTCACGTTGTTGTTGTTGCTGTTGTTTGACTGCGCAGGTGCCGACTGCTGGTGTTGCTCGTAAAACGACATGAAGGAGAAAAATTTCTCCATCATACTCTGGTCGAAGCTGGCAGGTTGGCTGGCTGAAGGCGCTGCTGGTCCCGTTGCAGTTCCTTCCTCTGTCTGCAGGCCAGAGGCAGGAGGTGGGGTAGGAGTAGTCCCGGGAGAACCATTAGAGGAACTCCTCTCCTTGTATGTTGCCATGTTGTCTGTTGATGATTTGACAGTAGTTGAATTTCCCCTGATAGCTCTCATACCATGTTGGGCTGAGAAAGCCCTTAGGATCTTTGCAGGGGTAAATTCGGGGTAGGACTATTGTAATAGCGGAAGCGTTTAATGAAGAACTTGTGAACCACCTTGCACTGGTGTGTGAGAGCAAAGTAAGTTGATTAAAGCAAGGGAATACAAGCGTTTATATATGAGTACAAGGAATATGAAAGGATGCAGTTGTAACTACTTTACTGTTGCTGTTGCGGTTCGATACAGTAACGACTCGGGCAACCGCTCTGTAACGAGTCGGTTGTGTGTCCTTGCTGTCGTACTGTACTTGTCAGGTCAAAGGTCGCTGACCTTTGACTTTCGCGTAACCTCCGGCAACCTCTTTCAACCTCCGAGGGTTGACTCGCTCGTGCCTCGATATGACTCGCTTCGCTTCTGGTGTGATGTTTCGACACGACAGAGGCGCTTTAGGAATTACTTGTTTCCAACAAATAGCACTGGGTTTCGAATGATTAACCATCTACATGTTAATGTCAGCACAAACAAGCTACATCTGACGCAATACAGCGATAACTCTCCCATCATACAGTCATTCCTTCATTCAACAGGGGCCTACTACCATCCAGACCGAACGCGCTCTAACAGCGATCAACTCCTTCTCAGAACAAGGACGTGACCGCCCCAGTGAGGCAGCTGAGGCTGTTGCGGGCGCTCCGCCTTTGTGACTGCATGAACCCTCGTCGAGCGACGAGGGGGTGTGTTTTCGACCAATTAGGGCCTGGCAGTGGGCCTTGTTGGAGCTTGCAATGTGGCAGCTAACCCTCGACAGTAACGTTATCGCCCAGCCCTCGGTTTTGCGCACCCAACCAACAATCTACCACCACGTGAAACATGTACATTTTGTTCTCAACCTTTTATGCTATAAAAAATATATACATTATATATAGACCCGGGTGCAATGTAGCATTTTCCGATGACAACATCCCCCCCGTTTTTTTTGTGTAGTTATCATAGCACCCTAGGGTGGTATGTCCGGGGGAATACGGTATCTTGGGTATCTGACCAGTTATTTACAACAGCCCCAATACCCAATCCCTGGCTTCCCCTCCAGGCCGTACACTGTCGCGCTGCGCCCAAAAAATCAGGGCAAAATACAGCGTACAGTATTTCAGGAGCCCCAATGCTCACATCATGCAAGCCTTGACTGCATCAGGCCGTGTGCTGTGCATGCTCATATGGTATGCGGTAGGGTAGGGGTTGCCATTCAAAATAAGATAACCAATTCAGAAGACTGGTGTGATCGATGCTCTACTTCCAGGTGTGCTCCTTGTTGAGGGATTTGCGGTTTCGCTTGAGTGAGTAGGTGATGAGGGGCTCCTGCTCCACCACACCACCTGCATGCACCTCACTGGACGAGCCATCATATGGCACAGCGGGGACGCCTCCTCCCCCGCCACCACCCGCAGCGCCTGCAACTCCCAATGCCCAAAGGGCTGTCTCGCTGTCTTGCGCTGCCGCATGCATCCCTGCCTCTCCACCTGCATGCATCCCTGCCTCTCCACCTGCATGCATCCCTGCCTCTCCACCTGCATGCGCCTCCCTCACTCGCTCCACCACTGCAGCAGCAGCAGTGCTGCCGTCATGCCTGACAGGCTGCTCACTGCTGAGCATCGCCTGCCCTGCCCGCCCCACATGCCCCACATGCCCCACATGCCCCACATGCCCCACATGCCCCACATGCCCCGCATGGCCCCCGGCAGCCATCTGCCGCCGGTGCCACTCCTCCCACTCGTCCACCTCCCCCCTCCTCTTGCCCGCCCTCCCCTCCCTCACCTCGTTGCCACCGCGCCCTGCCTCCCCTGGCACCCACCCCTCCCGCACTGCCATTCCATCCCCCGCCCTCCCCTCCTCACCATCCCGTGCGCTCATCTCGTGCGCCCCACTGCACCCCTCAGGCCCCACCAGCCCGCGGGCAGCAAGGATGGGCGTGCGGCGCAGGATGTCGTCCATCGCCAGCCCGCGCGCCTTCCTGCGGCTGCGCTCGCGCTTGCCCTGCGCCCGCCACCTCACCGCGCCCCCACCTTCCTCTCCCTCCCCACCCTCCCTTCCCTCCCCACCCTCCCCTCCCTCCCTCCCGTCTCCGCCCTCCCCAGCGTCCCCCTGGGTGCGGCCAGCACTGCCTGTGCGCTGCATCGGGGCAGGCAGCGCCCCCTGGGGCAGGCGAGTCGGGGATGCCATGCGCACCGCACTGCTCTGCACTGCCGCATCCGCAGACACATGCACATTGCCTTGCCTCTGCTGCTCCTGCTGCTGCTCCTGCTGCTGCTGCTGCTGCTGCTCAGGGCGCTGGGCGTGAGAGTGGGAGTGCGTTTTGAGGCAACCAGTGTGACTCTCGCCTGCCCCCCCACGGTGCTTGCCGCAATCACTCTGCTCGTGCGTGGGGCACTCACTCTGCCTCTCAGCACTGTGTTGCGGCTCAGGAGGGCATGGATGCAGCGCAAGCACATGAGAGGACTGCTTCTTCTCATCCATCCCACTCTTAGTTCCCATCGCCCCACCACTTTGTTGCGCTTTCTCCGCCGTTCCCCTTCGCCCCACCATCACCTCGTCCTGAATCCTTTCGCTCCTCTCCCCCCCCTCCTCTCTTTCCCCTTCTCCCCCCCTTTCCCCCCTCTCCTCGCGCTGTCCCCTTTCCCCTCTCTGCCCCCTGTCTTCCCTCGCCCCCCACGTCCCCCTCTGCATGGTCACAGCACCCCACGCCTGCCGTTCCCCACGCACGCCCACGTTGCCACGCGTAGGGGGCAGGCAGGAGGCACGTGGGTGGAAGGGGGGGGCGGGGAGGGGAGGGGGCGAGAGGGGGGGGCGGGGGGCGGGGGGGCGAGCGCCCAGGGGGAGGGGGAGGGCTGGAGGTCGCCGTGGGAGGCGCCCCTCTCGTCCCTCTCGCCGTCCCCCTCGCCGTCGGAGGCGTCCAGGTCCACCAGGTCCCACACGCCGCGCGCTCCCCTGCCCACCGCACTCGCTTCCCTCTCGCCCCTCCCTGCACCCGCACTGCCTCTCACCTCGCCGCATGGGCTCGCCTCAGCACGTCCCTCCTGCGCCAGGGGCAGCACAGGTGGCCCCCCGCTCACCTCAGGGCGCACAGAGGCACTCATGTGTGGCAGCGCAGCAGCGGGGCAGGGCGGACCACCATGCGTGCGTACCGTGCCCACTGCGCCCCCACTGCCACCATGGCGGTGGCTGTGGGCAGCAGGCAGCGCGGGTGCAGGCGAGGGCGATGTGCATGCACCCGTGCTACTCACCACCGCGTCAGCTGCGCGTGCACAGGCGGTGGGAGGCGGGGCAGGGGTGGTGGCAGCGTGTGGTGGTGCAGGGGGCATGGCCACCATGGGCAGGGAGGGAAGCAGAGAGGTGGGCTCATTCAGTGGCGTGGCAGAAATGGCTGCACAAACATGTGCCGCCCGCACCTCCCCCGGTCCCCTTCCCACACCTGCCACTTCGCCTGCTGCTGCTGCTGGCGGTGTGGGTGGTGGCGGCGGCAGACGAGTGGGGGGCAGCGGCTTGGCGAAGATGAAGACAGCGAAGAGACCTGCCCAGGGGGTGTGGTGCACACTGGCACTATTCCCATGAATGTGGTGCACACTGGCACTATTCCCATGAATGTGGTGCACACTGGCACTATTCCCATGAATGTGGTGCACACTGGCACTATTCCCATGAATGTGGTGCACACTGGCACTATTCCCATGAATGTGGTGCACACTGGCACTATTCCCATGAATGTGGTGCACACTGGCACTATTCCCATGAATGTGGTGCACACTGGCACTATTCCCATGAATGTGGTGCACACTGGCACTATTCCCATGAATGTGGTGCACACTGGCACTATTCCCATGAATGTGGTGCACACTGGCACTATTCCCATGAATGTGGTGCACACTGGCACTATTCCCATGAATGTGGTGCACACTGGCACTATTCCCATGAATGTGGTGCACACTGGCACTATTCCCATGAATGTGGTGCACACTGGCACTATTCCCATGAATGTGGTGCACACTGGCACTATTCCCATGAATGTGGTGCACACTGGCACTATTCCCATGAATGTGGTGCACACTGGCACTATTCCCATGAATGTGGTGCACACTGGCACTATTCCCATGAATGTGGTGCACACTGGCACTATTCCCATGAATGTGGTGCACACTGGCACTATTCCCATGAATGTGGTGCACACTGGCACTATTCCCATGAATGTGGTGCACACTGGCACTATTCCCATGAATGTGGTGCACACTGGCACTATTCCCATGAATGTGGTGCACACTGGCACTATTCCCATGAATGTGGTGCACACTGGCGGTATTCCCATGAATGTGGTGCACACTGGCACTATTCCCATGAATGTGGTGCACACTGGCGGTATTCCCATGAATGTGGTGCACACTGGCACTATTCCCATGAATGTGGTGCACACTGGCACTATTCCCATGAATGTGGTGCACACTGGCACTATTCCCATGAATGTGGTGCACACTGGCACTATTCCCATGAATGTGGTGCACACTGGCACTATTCCCATGAATGTGGTGCACACTGGCACTATTCCCATGAATGTGGTGCACACTGGCACTATTCCCATGAATGTGGTGCACACTGGCAGCATTCCCATGAATGTGGTGCACACTGGCACTATTCCCGTGAACGTGGTGCACACTGGCACTATTCCCATGAATGTGGTGCACACTGGCACTATTCCCGTGAACGTGGTGCACACTGGCACTATTCCCATGAATGTGGTGCACACTGGCACTATTCCCATGAATGTGGTGCACACTGGCACTATTCCCATGAATGTGGTGCACACTGGCACTATTCCCATGAATGTGGTGCACACTGGCACTATTCCCATGAATGTGGTGCACACTGGCACTATTCCCATGAATGTGGTGCACACTGGCACTATTCCCATGAATGTGGTGCACACTGGCACTATTCCCATGAATGTGGTGCACACTGGCACTATTCCCATGAATGTGGTGCACACTGGCACTATTCCCATGAATGTGGTGCACACTGGCACTATTCCCATGAATGTGGTGCACACTGGCACTATTCCCATGAATGTGGTGCACACTGGCACTATTCCCATGAATGTGGTGCACACTGGCACTATTCCCATGAATGTGGTGCACACTGGCACTATTCCCATGAATGTGGTGCACACTGGCACTATTCCCATGAATGTGGTGCACACTGGCACTATTCCCATGAATGTGGTGCACACTGGCACTATTCCCATGAATGTGGTGCACACTGGCACTATTCCCATGAATGTGGTGCACACTGGCACTATTCCCATGAATGTGGTGCACACTGGCACTATTCCCATGAATGTGGTGCACACTGGCACTATTCCCATGAATGTGGTGCACACTGGCACTATTCCCATGAATGTGGTGCACACTGGCACTATTCCCATGAATGTGGTGCACACTGGCACTATTCCCATGAATGTGGTGCACACTGGCACTATTCCCATGAATGTGGTGCACACTGGCACTATTCCCATGAATGTGGTGCACACTGGCACTATTCCCATGAATGTGGTGCACACTGGCACTATTCCCATGAATGTGGTGCACACTGGCACTATTCCCATGAATGTGGTGCACACTGGCACTATTCCCATGAATGTGGTGCACACTGGCACTATTCCCATGAATGTGGTGCACACTGGCACTATTCCCATGAATGTGGTGCACACTGGCACTATTCCCATGAATGTGGTGCACACTGGCACTATTCCCATGAATGTGGTGCACACTGGCACTATTCCCATGAATGTGGTGCACACTGGCACTATTCCCGTGAACGTGGTGCACACTGGCACTATTCCCATGAATGTGGTGCACACTGGCACTATTCCCATGAATGTGGTGCACACTGGCAGCATTCCCATGAATGTGGTGCACACTGGCACTATTCCCATGAATGTGGTGCACACTGGCACTATTCCCATGAATGTGGTGCACACTGGCACTATTCCCATGAATGTGGTGCACACTGGCACTATTCCCGTGAACGTGGTGCACACTGGCACTATTCCCATGAATGTGGTGCACACTGGCACTATTCCCATGAATGTGGTGCACACTGGCACTATTCCCGTGAACGTGGTGCACACTGGCACTATTCCCGTGAACGTGGTGCACACTGGCACTATTCCCGTGAACGTGGTGCACACTGGCACTATTCCCGTGAACGTGGTGCACACTGGCACTATTCCCATGAATGTGGTGCACACTGGCACTATTCCCATGAATGTGGTGCACACTGGCACTATTCCCATGAATGTGGTGCACACTGGCACTATTCCCATGAATGTGGTGCACACTGGCACTATTCCCATGAATGTGGTGCACACTGGCACTATTCCCATGAATGTGGTGCACACTGGCACTATTCCCATGAATGTGGTGCACACTGGCACTATTCCCATGAATGTGGTGCACACTGGCACTATTCCCATGAATGTGGTGCACACTGGCACTATTCCCATGAATGTGGTGCACACTGGCACTATTCCCATGAATGTGGTGCACGCTGGCCCTATTCCCGTGAACGTGGTGCACACTAGCACTATTCCCATGAACGTGGTGCACACTGGCACTATTCCCATGAATGTGGTGCACACTGGCACTATTCCCATGAATGTGGTGCACACTGGCACTATTCCCATGAATGTGGTGCACACTGGCACTATTCCCATGAATGTGGTGCACACTGGCACTATTCCCATGAATGTGGTGCACACTGGCACTATTCCCATGAATGTGGTGCACACTGGCACTATTCCCATGAATGTGGTGCACACTGGCACTATTCCCATGAATGTGGTGCACACTGGCACTATTCCCATGAATGTGGTGCACACTGGCACTATTCCCATGAATGTGGTGCACACTGGCACCACTCCCATGAATGTGGTGCACTCTGGCACTATTCCCATGAATGTGGTGCACACTGGCACTATTCCCATGAATGTGGTGCACACTGGCACTATTCCCATGAATGTGGTGCACACTGGCACTATTCCCATGAATGTGGTGCACACTGGCACTATTCCCATGAATGTGGTGCACACTGGCACTATTCCCATGAATGTGGTGCACACTGGCACTATTCCCATGAATGTGGTGCACACTGGCACTATTCCCATGAATGTGGTGCCAGTGAATGTGGTGCACACTGGCACTATTCCCATGAATGTGGTGCACACTGGCACTATTCCCATGAATGTGGTGCACACTGGCACTATTCCCATGAATGTGGTGCACACTGGCACTATTCCCATGAATGTGGTGCACACTGGCACTATTCCCATGAATGTGGTGCACACTGGCACTATTCCCATGAATGTGGTGCACACTGGCACTATTCCCATGAATGTGGTGCACACTGGCACTATTCCCATGAATGTGGTGCACACTGGCACTATTCCCATGAATGTGGTGCACACTGGCACTATTCCCATGAATGTGGTGCACACTGGCACTATTCCCATGAATGTGGTGCACACTGGCACTATTCCCATGAATGTGGTGCACACTGGCACTATTCCCATGAATGTGGTGCACACTGGCACTATTCCCATGAATGTGGTGCACACTGGCACTATTCCCATGAATGTGGTGCACACTGGCACTATTCCCATGAATGTGGTGCACACTGGCACTATTCCCATGAATGTGGTGCACACTGGCACTATTCCCATGAATGTGGTGCACACTGGCACTATTCCCATGAATGTGGTGCACACTGGCACTATTCCCATGAATGTGGTGCACACTGGCACTATTCCCATGAATGTGGTGCACACTGGCACTATTCCCATGAATGTGGTGCACACTGGCACTATTCCCATGAATGTGGTGCACACTGGCACTATTCCCATGAATGTGGTGCACACTGGCACTATTCCCATGAATGTGGTGCACACTGGCACTATTCCCATGAATGTGGTGCACACTGGCACTATTCCCATGAATGTGGTGCACACTGGCACTATTCCCATGAATGTGGTGCACACTGGCACTATTCCCATGAATGTGGTGCACACTGGCACTATTCCCATGAATGTGGTGCACACTGGCACTATTCCCATGAATGTGGTGCACACTGGCACTATTCCCATGAATGTGGTGCACACTGGCACTATTCCCATGAATGTGGTGCACACTGGCACTATTCCCATGAATGTGGTGCACACTGGCACTATTCCCATGAATGTGGTGCACACTGGCACTATTCCCATGAATGTGGTGCACACTGGCACTATTCCCATGAATGTGGTGCACACTGGCACTATTCCCATGAATGTGGTGCACACTGGCACTATTCCCATGAATGTGGTGCACACTGGCACTATTCCCATGAATGTGGTGCACACTGGCACCACTCCCATGAATGTGGTGCACTCTGGCACTATTCCCATGAATGTGGTGCACACTGGCACTATTCCCATGAATGTGGTGCACACTGGCACTATTCCCATGAATGTGGTGCACACTGGCACTATTCCCATGAATGTGGTGCACACTGGCACTATTCCCATGAATGTGGTGCACACTGGCACTATTCCCATGAATGTGGTGCACACTGGCACTATTCCCATGAATGTGGTGCACACTGGCACTATTCCCATGAATGTGGTGCCAGTGAATGTGGTGCACACTGGCACTATTCCCATGAATGTGGTGCACACTGGCACTATTCCCATGAATGTGGTGCACACTGGCACTATTCCCATGAATGTGGTGCACACTGGCACTATTCCCATGAATGTGGTGCACACTGGCACTATTCCCATGAATGTGGTGCACACTGGCACTATTCCCATGAATGTGGTGCACACTGGCACTATTCCCATGAATGTGGTGCACACTGGCACTATTCCCATGAATGTGGTGCACACTGGCACTATTCCCATGAATGTGGTGCACACTGGCACTATTCCCATGAATGTGGTGCACACTGGCACTATTCCCATGAATGTGGTGCACACTGGCACTATTCCCATGAATGTGGTGCACACTGGCACTATTCCCATGAATGTGGTGCACACTGGCACTATTCCCATGAATGTGGTGCACACTGGCACTATTCCCATGAATGTGGTGCACACTGGCACTATTCCCATGAATGTGGTGCACACTGGCACTATTCCCATGAATGTGGTGCACACTGGCACTATTCCCATGAATGTGGTGCACACTGGCACTATTCCCATGAATGTGGTGCACACTGGCACTATTCCCATGAATGTGGTGCACACTGGCACTATTCCCATGAATGTGGTGCACACTGGCACTATTCCCATGAATGTGGTGCACACTGGCACTATTCCCATGAATGTGGTGCACACTGGCACTATTCCCATGAATGTGGTGCACACTGGCACTATTCCCATGAATGTGGTGCACACTGGCACTATTCCCATGAATGTGGTGCACACTGGCACTATTCCCATGAATGTGGTGCACACTGGCACTATTCCCATGAATGTGGTGCACACTGGCACTATTCCCATGAATGTGGTGCACACTGGCACTATTCCCATGAATGTGGTGCACACTGGCACTATTCCCATGAATGTGGTGCACACTGGCACTATTCCCATGAATGTGGTGCACACTGGCACTATTCCCATGAATGTGGTGCACACTGGCACTATTCCCATGAATGTGGTGCACACTGGCACTATTCCCATGAATGTGGTGCACACTGGCACTATTCCCATGAATGTGGTGCACACTGGCACTATTCCCATGAATGTGGTGCACACTGGCACTATTCCCATGAATGTGGTGCACACTGGCACTATTCCCATGAATGTGGTGCACACTGGCACTATTCCCATGAATGTGGTGCACACTGGCACTATTCCCATGAATGTGGTGCACACTGGCACTATTCCCATGAATGTGGTGCACACTGGCACTATTCCCATGAATGTGGTGCACACTGGCACTATTCCCATGAATGTGGTGCACACTGGCACTATTCCCATGAATGTGGTGCACACTGGCACTATTCCCATGAATGTGGTGCACACTGGCACTATTCCCATGAATGTGGTGCACACTGGCACTATTCCCATGAATGTGGTGCACACTGGCACTATTCCCATGAATGTGGTGCACACTGGCACTATTCCCATGAATGTGGTGCACACTGGCACTATTCCCATGAATGTGGTGCACACTGGCACTATTCCCATGAATGTGGTGCACACTGGCACTATTCCCATGAATGTGGTGCACACTGGCACTATTCCCATGAATGTGGTGCACACTGGCACTATTCCCATGAATGTGGTGCACACTGGCACTATTCCCATGAATGTGGTGCACACTGGCACTATTCCCATGAATGTGGTGCACACTGGCACTATTCCCATGAATGTGGTGCACACTGGCACTATTCCCATGAATGTGGTGCACACTGGCACTATTCCCATGAATGTGGTGCACACTGGCACTATTCCCATGAATGTGGTGCACACTGGCACTATTCCCATGAATGTGGTGCACACTGGCACTATTCCCATGAATGTGGTGCACACTGGCACTATTCCCATGAATGTGGTGCACACTGGCACTATTCCCATGAATGTGGTGCACACTGGCACTATTCCCATGAATGTGGTGCACACTGGCACTATTCCCATGAATGTGGTGCACACTGGCACTATTCCCATGAATGTGGTGCACACTGGCACTATTCCCATGAATGTGGTGCACACTGGCACTATTCCCATGAATGTGGTGCACACTGGCACTATTCCCATGAATGTGGTGCACACTGGCACTATTCCCATGAATGTGGTGCACACTGGCACTATTCCCATGAATGTGGTGCACACTGGCACTATTCCCATGAATGTGGTGCACACTGGCACTATTCCCATGAATGTGGTGCACACTGGCACTATTCCCATGAATGTGGTGCACACTGGCACTATTCCCATGAATGTGGTGCACACTGGCACTATTCCCATGAATGTGGTGCACACTGGCACTATTCCCATGAATGTGGTGCACACTGGCACTATTCCCATGAATGTGGTGCACACTGGCACTATTCCCATGAATGTGGTGCACACTGGCACTATTCCCATGAATGTGGTGCACACTGGCACTATTCCCATGAATGTGGTGCACACTGGCACTATTCCCATGAATGTGGTGCACACTGGCACTATTCCCATGAATGTGGTGCACACTGGCACTATTCCCATGAATGTGGTGCACACTGGCACTATTCCCATGAATGTGGTGCACACTGGCACTATTCCCATGAATGTGGTGCACACTGGCACTATTCCCATGAATGTGGTGCACACTGGCACTATTCCCATGAATGTGGTGCACACTGGCACTATTCCCATGAATGTGGTGCACACTGGCACTATTCCCATGAATGTGGTGCACACTGGCACTATTCCCATGAATGTGGTGCACACTGGCACTATTCCCATGAATGTGGTGCACACTGGCACTATTCCCATGAATGTGGTGCACACTGGCACTATTCCCATGAATGTGGTGCACACTGGCACTATTCCCATGAATGTGGTGCACACTGGCACTATTCCCATGAATGTGGTGCACACTGGCACTATTCCCATGAATGTGGTGCACACTGGCACTATTCCCATGAATGTGGTGCACACTGGCACTATTCCCATGAATGTGGTGCACACTGGCACTATTCCCATGAATGTGGTGCACACTGGCACTATTCCCATGAATGTGGTGCACACTGGCACTATTCCCATGAATGTGGTGCACACTGGCACTATTCCCATGAATGTGGTGCACACTGGCACTATTCCCATGAATGTGGTGCACACTGGCACTATTCCCATGAATGTGGTGCACACTGGCACTATTCCCATGAATGTGGTGCACACTGGCACTATTCCCATGAATGTGGTGCACACTGGCACTATTCCCATGAATGTGGTGCACACTGGCACTATTCCCATGAATGTGGTGCACACTGGCACTATTCCCATGAATGTGGTGCACACTGGCACTATTCCCATGAATGTGGTGCACACTGGCACTATTCCCATGAATGTGGTGCACACTGGCACTATTCCCATGAATGTGGTGCACACTGGCACTATTCCCATGAATGTGGTGCACACTGGCACTATTCCCATGAATGTGGTGCACACTGGCACTATTCCCATGAATGTGGTGCACACTGGCACTATTCCCATGAATGTGGTGCACACTGGCACCATTCCCTTGAATGTGGTGCACACTGGCACCATTCCCGTGAATGTGGTGCACACTGGCACTATTCCCATGAATGTGGTGCACACTGGCACTATTCCCATGAATGTGGTGCACACTGGCACTATTCCCATGAATGTGGTGCACACTGGCACTATTCCCATGAATGTGGTGCACACTGGCACTATTCCCATGAATGTGGTGCACACTGGCACTATTCCCATGAATGTGGTGCACACTGGCACTATTCCCATGAATGTGGTGCACACTGGCACTATTCCCATGAATGTGGTGCACACTGGCACTATTCCCGTAAATGTGGTGCACACTGGCACTATTCCCATGAATGTGGTGCACACTGGCACTATTCCCATGAATGTGGTGCACACTGGCACTATTCCCATGAATGTGGTGCACACTGGCACTATTCCCATGAATGTGGTGCACACTGGCACTATTCCCATGAATGTGGTGCACACTGGCACTATTCCCATGAATGTGGTGCACACTGGCACTATTCCCATGAATGTGGTGCACACTGGCACTATTCCCATGAATGTGGTGCACACTGGCACTATTCCCATGAATGTGGTGCACACTGGCACTATTCCCATGAATGTGGTGCCAGTGAATGTGGTGCACACTGGCACTATTCCCATGAATGTGGTGCACACTGGCACTATTCCCATGAATGTGGTGCACACTGGCACTATTCCCATGAATGTGGTGCACACTGGCACTATTCCCATGAATGTGGTGCACACTGGCACTATTCCCATGAATGTGGTGCACACTGGCACTATTCCCATGAATGTGGTGCACACTGGCACTATTCCCATGAATGTGGTGCACACTGGCACTATTCCCATGAATGTGGTGCACACTGGCACTATTCCCATGAATGTGGTGCACACTGGCACTATTCCCATGAATGTGGTGCACACTGGCACTATTCCCATGAATGTGGTGCACACTGGCACTATTCCCATGAATGTGGTGCACACTGGCACTATTCCCATGAATGTGGTGCACACTGGCACTATTCCCATGAATGTGGTGCACACTGGCACTATTCCCATGAATGTGGTGCACACTGGGACCATTCCCATGAATGTGGTGCACTCTGGCACTATTCCCATGAATGTGGTGCACACTGGCACTATTCCCATGAATGTGGTGCACACTGGCACTATTCCCATGAATGTGGTGCACACTGGCACTATTCCCATGAATGTGGTGCACACTGGCACTATTCCCATGAATGTGGTGCACACTGGCACTATTCCCATGAATGTGGTGCCAGTGAATGTGGTGCACACTGGCACTATTCCCATGAATGTGGTGCACACTGGCACTATTCCCATGAATGTGGTGCACACTGGCACTATTCCCATGAATGTGGTGCACACTGGCACTATTCCCATGAATGTGGTGCACACTGGCACTATTCCCATGAATGTGGTGCACACTGGCACTATTCCCATGAATGTGGTGCACACTGGCACTATTCCCATGAATGTGGTGCACACTGGCACTATTCCCATGAATGTGGTGCACACTGGCACTATTCCCATGAATGTGGTGCACACTGGCACTATTCCCATGAATGTGGTGCACACTGGCACTATTCCCATGAATGTGGTGCACACTGGCACTATTCCCATGAATGTGGTGCACACTGGCACTATTCCCATGAATGTGGTGCACACTGGCACTATTCCCATGAATGTGGTGCACACTGGCACTATTCCCATGAATGTGGTGCACACTGGCACTATTCCCATGAATGTGGTGCACACTGGCACTATTCCCATGAATGTGGTGCACACTGGCACTATTCCCATGAATGTGGTGCACACTGGCACTATTCCCATGAATGTGGTGCACACTGGCACTATTCCCATGAATGTGGTGCACACTGGCACTATTCCCATGAATGTGGTGCACACTGGCACTATTCCCATGAATGTGGTGCACACTGGCACTATTCCCATGAATGTGGTGCACACTGGCACTATTCCCATGAATGTGGTGCACACTGGCACTATTCCCATGAATGTGGTGCACACTGGCACTATTCCCATGAATGTGGTGCACACTGGCACTATTCCCATGAATGTGGTGCACACTGGCACTGTTCCCGTGAATGCATGGGTAGGAGCCCGCTTGCCACCGTGTGTCGCGGTGGATGGCAGAACGGCAGGTCGCCAGCAGCACTCACTCAGCAAGTCGCGTGCCGCTGCAGAGAGGCCGACGTGCACAGCAGCGTCCACAGGCCGCCCTCCCACCCCCTCGCCCACTGCTGCACCCGCCGCAGCAGCAGCGTCGCCACGCGGGTCAGGCAGGGTGAGCAGTGCGGCGGGGCAGATGTGCGCCAGCAGGCGCATGCTGGCAGGCGTCCTGCAGAGGGGGGGAAGCAGAGGGAGGGGCGAGCGGAGGCATGAGGGTTGGCCGTGGGGAGGCATCAGGGAAGGAAGTGTTACGAACAATATACACAGGTTAAAGCTGCGGTGCAACCACTGGCTCTCCACCTCAGAGGTTTATAGCTTGGAAGGTTGACCCAGATCACGGAGGAAGCTCACTGGCGAGAAGTTTGTCGTGTTGTTGGAGTCCAACTTGCGATCACTAGAAGCCCATTTTGCCCAGTTACCATTCCTAAGAATCTTCTTCACCCCGCCTTCTAGGCGATATGTGCAAATCGGCCGACTCACATTCGATCCGATGGGTTAAGTGAGGTGACGGATCGATCCGAGAATCTCAAATATCGGGTCAACCCGACCAAAGCAGCATAGCCCAACCTGACACCCCTGGTTTGGGAAACCTCACGAGCCGACCTGAGGAAACATGGGTCAGGGTACCCGCTGCTCATGCCTGCGAGGTATGGCGGGTCAACCCACCCATGATCTCAATCGACTCGTCCTATTGGCTCACTTCCAAGTTACAAGTGACCACAAACGGGTTTCAGGGGATTGGGTGGGAGGGGAAGAGGAGAGGGAGGGGGGTGGGGGAGGGGGGGGAGAGAGGGTGTTTGGGGGGGTGTGTTTGACGATGGGATGATTGAGGCAGAAATGCATCTGGCTGGAATGTGCCGCTGAATTGAGGCTGCGGCTATTCTCTATTCGAAGGAATATGAAAATTCTCTCTGACATTGATTGAATCATTGAGTGGACAGGTTCGGATCTCTTGTTGCAATTGCCGACGGAATACTAAGGTTGGCGGTGGCCTGTTTGAGGCGAAACAGCCAACCACACTACTCGGCAAAATCTCCGAACCAGGCCGGTCCATCCCTTGGCAAGACTTGAGAATAGTCGGGCCGGCCGGGGTGAAAGGCGAGGAGCAGTGGGCCTAGAGGCGAGCACCTGCGTTGTGTTGTGTTGCTGACCGTAGGTTGCTAAATTGCTCCATCGTATACTTCTTGAGGCTTCTAGTTCAGTCTGACCCTAACTTGACCATGACTGCTGCTTTCCCATTGCTCCTAAATCTCCGACACCTAGCTGCACTTGCTTCTCGATACGATGCTCCCAAGACACCGCACAGCCTCCCACACACGCTTAAGCTAAACAAAACTAGAAATGAACTCTTCAGAAAATACACATTAGTGATTGCCCTGTCGAGCCGAACTGAACCAGTTTGGGTGGAAACAGTAAGGTTGGACAACTGGGGGTCGAATATCGAACCTCGGCCACCACGTTTTGGTTCGACCCAAACCGAGCAGGTTTGATACTGCGAGATTGTCCGTTTGACCAGGTTTGGCCTGAACAAGTTCGGGTTGGATACTTTCTCACGTGTAGTGTACTCATGTGTGATTGACACAGTTGGCATGGTGCCCACCTGGTGTCGTTGAAAAGCGTCTCGAGGTTGACAATGTCGATCAGCTGCAACCCCTCCGCCTCCGCCAACCTGCCATGCCATGCGCGGGAGAGACGATGGGGGCATGTGAGAAGACATGGGCATAAGGAAACAGAGGAAGGAAACACAGAGCAAAAAGGGGCGTGGGAGAGCGACAGGCGGCAATATTAGAGAGTAGGAAATGGGGGAGAAGGGGGGGCAACAAGAAAAGATGTGGCAGAGTGGACGAGCAGCTTGGAGTGAGACAAGGCAGCAGCAGCGTGCAGCAGATGCAGGAGGCAGGAGCATGAAGCGGGACTCCCTTGAGCCCGTCAGCTGCACTGCACGCCAACCCCGAACACCGGAGACCACCTCATCACAGGTTGGCACAGTAAGGGTGCGGAGAGTCACTCTACACTAGTGGGAGCTAAATTACGGGGAAGGCACGGGTGGTACGAGTGATCACAGCGTTTGCTCGTAGTTTCTCTACTTGCGCATTCACAGGGAAAATTAGCAAGAGTTTCACTAAGAACATAGTAGAATAATGATACAATGGTAATGGCAAAAGTTGACTACATCACAGTGTTAATGTTAGTCCTCAATCTCACATTTGTACTTATACTTTTTATATCCAAGGTTAGTGTAGTTTGCACTTTGTGTTTGGTTGGGTGTACACCCACATCCCAACCAAACCCAAATGTAATCTCCAAGCAATCTCCAACCCACCAATTGGAGATTGCCCTGAGATTGGACCTCAAGGACGTCCTCCTCAACCGTGGCAAGGGGAAACAGCTCCTTCTCCCCCGTGAGCTTACCGAACCTGCTAGTGAGGCTGACACGAGGGCGTACGAGGAAGCTGTTGAGAAGTACCGGAAATGGGAGAAGGCCGACGCAGCTATCATCAGCGTCTTTATCGCCTCCACCCCTCTCGAACTTGTCAACACGTTCCACAACTACCCCACCTCTAACGCCATCTGGAAGTACCTCCAGGATCGGTTCATGAACAAGACGGCGGTCGGAGTTGCCATTCCCATCCCTAGCATGTTCCAGGTCCGTCTTGAGGATTGCTTGGGAATGGCCGACTACATTGCCAAGATGCAACCCATTCATGGCGAACTCAAGGAGCTGGGTATAGTCTTCCCCGAGCAAGCCCCTGCAGCCGCCCTTTTTATTGGTCTCACCTCGGCATATGAAGTCACGAGGAAGATGCTCCTCACGTTGTCAGCGGAAGACCTCACTTTTGCTAAGGTCTCCACCGCACTCCTCTCTGCCGAGAAAGACTCCACGGCTCAGGCCAAGGCGTACGCCATCCGTGCTCTCATGCCTCAAGCAAGTGTCGCATCGGCTCTCGCCTCGGCGCCCTTCCATCGCAACTGTTTTCCTCCGTGCACCTACGTCGTCAAGTATGGCAACCGCAAGGGACAAGTGTGTGGTGGCACTAACCACCCCCTTGCTACGTGCTTCAAGAAGAAAGACGACGAATGGTATGCCCTCCACGGAGTAGACAAGAAGCCGCCAAATTGGATGCGCCTTCGTAAGGCCAACGTAGTTGAGGTCCAGGACCCCACTTCGTCTAGTGCTAGTGATAGTGCTCCTGCTGATGTGCGTATCAACCTGTTGTTCCCTGGCACTGCCATGATTAATGAAGCAACCTCCCAGTACATCGGCTCATCACAGAACACCACAATACATAGAATTCACACTCGATAGTGGAGCCACTCACACTGTGCTCAAGGAAACACTCTCTCTTTCAAACCCTACGCAACACCCATTCCTCTCCTAGGAGCTGATTCAAGCTTCACCACTCTTGCCAAGGGTACATCCACAGTCCCGTGCCCCGCCTTCCCATCCGGCACTGTGACTGGGATGTGCGTGCCTTCACTACGCCACAATCTAGTGGCTCAGACAGAAATTCAGGAGGCAGGGCTACGCACCATCTTCTCGGAGAACGAGAACTATTGCGACATCATCGATCCACTCACCAACAAGGTCTTGGCTCGATTCACCCTCAATAGCAGCGGCCTCTACACGCTGCGCGTACCTATCCCACAGGAGTCAACCACCCAAGCACAGGCTACTATCACACCATGATCATGTCGCAGCTTCTTCAACCCGACCATCCTCTACCACCATCGGCTCGGGCACCCAAACTTCCGCACGCTTGCTGACATGGCCTCCAAGAAACTTCTTCTCGGCCTGCTAGCCTCACTTCCTCCACCACCTGACTCACCCGCTCCCACGTGCCTTGATTGCACCAAGAGCAAACTGCGCCAACAACCCCACCCTGCATCACCCCCAGTCGCAACAACACCACTGGACCTAGTGCACATGGACGTCTGGGGCCCTGCCCCTGTTCCTGCACGAGGTGGCCATCGCTACTTCCTTGCTATAGTTGATGACCACTCTCGCTACGTCTCTGTTCACCTCCTCCACACTAAGGCTGAGGTTCCAGAGGTCATTATGGTGTGGGTCAATCAGGCACAGACCACCTTTGACCGCAAGGTTCTTCACTCGGATGGGGGTGGTGAATTTTGCAACGACAAGCTCAAAGCCTTCTGCTCCTCAGAAGGCATCCAGCAAAACTTCACCCTTCCTGACAGCCCGCAGCAGAACGGCATAGCAGAAAGCCGCAACCACACCCTGGTGCAGATCACTCGGTGCCTCCTCAGCCACTCCAATGCTCCACTCTCTCTCTGGGGGTACGCCCTCTACCATGCCGCCCTCCTCTACAACCTTTACCCCCACCCGCACCTTCCCGACACCACTCCAACCACACTCACCCACTGCTCGCTCTCTTCGCGTCTGGGGGTGACAACCCTCAGGCTAGGCGGTAGCACGGCGGCAAACTCGGTCCCAAGACTCAAACGTGCATCTACCTTAGGCACAACACCGACTCCCCTGACTACCTCTTCCTCAACCCCTCCACTCAACAGTTAGTCCGGAGCCGCGACGTTGTCTTTGATGAGACCCGCCCATTCTACTCCACCTCGGGACGGGATCCTCTCTCCGATCCTCTCTCTGCCTCTCTCGTGTGGGCGGACTTTGATGCGCCTCCTGAAATCCCACCTGCGCCGGCCCCCTCACCTCATACCTCCCCTGCCCTTGCACCATCCCCCTCTGAGGTCTCTGACCTGACCTCACCGGTGTCTTTTGCAGCTGCTCCTCCATCCCCCTCACCTCCCACTCTGCCAACTGCACCGCCACCTCTGAGCACACCAATCACATACCATCGGCGGTCGAACCCTCCGGCCCCACCTCCTCCCCCCGCCCCCCTTCCCACCCAGGAACCCGCTCTCCCACAGCCACCGGAACTGATCACGTACCAGCGGCGGCCGATTCCCCCGCCCAAGCCCCCTATATAACCCCTTCGACACCGCCTGCTCCACCCTCTTCTCCGGTAGCTCATGGCACTCGTTCGCATGGCCCTGCTCCTCCACTGGCACTTGCTATTCGATGCTCAGCGATCACTCCGACTCCTCCTGCCGGGGGGGATGTGCCCTCTACCCTTCTGGAAGACAGGCATGAGGAGCTAAGAGATCTTCACGTAGTCATTCCCCAGCTCTCGCACATCTTCCCCGACATCACTGAATCACCCTCACTCAACTTCACGGAGAACCCGACCATCCCTATCCCTCTCACCGTCCAAGAGGCTCTCTCGGGTCCCCATGCTGCCGAATGGCGTGCTGCCATGGAAGCTGAGATTGAAGCCTTCACTCGCAACCACTCCTTCGACGACGAAACTCCACCTCCAGGAGTTAACATCGTTGGTGGCAAGTGGCTGTTTCGAGTGAAACAGCTTCCAGACGAGGCCCCGGTGTTCAAAGCGCGTTACGTGGCCAAGGGATTCACCCAGCACCAGTACCTGGATTTCTTCAAGACCTTCTCCCCCACATCCAAACCACCCACTGTTCGCACGCTCTTGGATGTAGCAGCACGAGAAGACTTTGAGATCAAATCCATGGATGCCTCTTTGGCTTTCCTGCAAGGACGCCTCAAGGAGACTGTATTCATGGATCGACCTGAAGGCTTTCCAGGAGAGTTCCCTCCCAACACTGTCTGGAAGCTGAATCGCCCTGTTTACAGCCTCAAGCAAGCCCCTCGTGAATGGCACAACAAAGTGAAAGAAGTCCTTCCCTCACTAGACTTTCACCCATCCTCTGCAAACCCGACCCTCTTCATTCGTCGTCACTCTGGGCCATTCTACATCCTTGTCTACGTCGATGACTTCATCCTCGTTGCCAAGGACTCGGCCCAGATGGCCTCTGTTCAGGAGGCCCTAAGCAAGGCCCTCTTGATGAAAGACCTCGGTGACCTCAAACACTACCTGGGGATGGAGATTACTCGCGATCGCCAGGCTCGCACCATCTCTCTTTCCCAGGAGTTCTACATCAACAATGTGCTCAAGCGGTTTGAGATGGAGCTGTGCACACCTATAGCCACCCCACTGCCACTGCAACACCTCCTCACCGCCCCAGCTGTACCCACACCAGAGGCATGCATTGAGCCGTATCCAGAGCTTGTTGGGTCCCTCATGTACGCCATGATGTGCACCCGGCCTGACTTGGCATACCCTGTCAGTGTCCTCTCTCGCTATGTGGCTCCTGGGCGCTTCACCGACCTTCATTGGAGAGCGGCAAAGCGGGTGCTGCGCGGGCACCAAGTCCCATGTCCTCACCCTAGGTGGGCTTTCTCCTCCTCGACTGGAAGGTTACACAGACTCCTCTTGGGCGGATGACCAGACCGACCGACGCTCCACTCAAGGCTACTGCTTCACCCTTGGGAGCGGGATTGTCAGCTGGCGCTCCACCCGGTCGCCTGCAGTCTCCCTCTTCTCTTGTGAAGCCGAGCTCTATGCTGGCACCATGGCGGCTCAGGAGCCTCGCTGGCTCACCTTCCTACTCCAGGAGTTTGGCTTCCCTCAGCCCACTCCCACCCTCTGGTGTGACAACCAGAGCACCATCCACCTCTCCCAGGATCCCGTGTACCACACTCGCACACATCGAACTCCGACACTTCTTCATCCGTAACATTGTCCAGCGAGAGCAGCTCAATGTGGAGTATGTGGCTTCTGACTGTAACTTGGCTAATCTATTCACCAAGCCCCTTGGGAAGGTTCCTCACCATCGCCTTCTAGGCGCCATGGGGCTCTGCGCTCCACCTTCTCTGCCATGAGTTCGATTGACGCGTTTGGGGGGGTGTTAATGTTAGTCCTCAATCTCACATTTGTACTTGTACTTTTTATATCCTAGGTTAGTGTAGTTTGCACTTTGTGTTTGGTTGGGTGTACACCCACATCCCAACCAAACCCAAATGTAATCTCCAAGCAATCTCCAACCCACCAATTGGAGATTGCCTTGGGATTACCCTCGATTCCCTAGGATTGCCCCTGATTCCCTTCTCATCCATACCTTACTCGTTTCTGATGTACTTAAAAAAGCTTTGAGCTCACTACTAATGTATCGATTCTAAGCTCAAACTTTGACACACAGGCTTAGCAGCCTAGCAAGCAGGCAGGTCGACCTCCAGCGCAGCACGAGAGTTGCTTGCCAGCAGCGTAGGCCGGCGGCCTGCCAACGTAGCACGAAGGGGACTTGCCATCGCTGCAGAATGACGCCCTGCCAGCTCTGCACCAGAACGGCGGCTTGCTACTGTTGCAACCACAGGTGTCTGTGGATGCGCAGGTGCACACCTGCCGAGTAGGTGCAGGAAGATAGTTGTACCATCAAGCACATTGTACAGGTGCCCAGAACGATCACACGTCGACGATTGCTCCCAGATGTGCCACGTCGACCTCGTGCTACGCTACCGACACGCAAATCGACTTCGTCAAAAACACCTGGACGGCGTTCGCGCAACCCCGCAAAACTTTGTCGACCAGGTCACTCGGTCTACCAGAAGGGACCGCTAAGCCGACGTCGACTTCGGTGCTTGTCGGTCAACCTCATGTCGATGACCACCTTCGTCGACCGCCGAGGCTTGACGCCATACACTGACTTCTCGTCGTTGACCAGCGTCTAGCCGACTTTGCTGAAGTCGGCTTCGTCAAAGTCGGCTTCCCCATAACCAGCTTCGCTCTAGTCGACTTCGCCGACTTCGACTCCACCAAAGTCGGCTGAGCCCGAAGTCGACCTCGCCTCGCCACGCCGACTTCTCCAGGTCGGCTTTACCGAAGTCGGCTTACCGTCGAAGTCGGCCATCCAAGCCGACTTGCTCCTCCAAATCGGCGTCGACCACGAAGCGTAGCCGGCTGCACACCTTGCACGACAGACAACGGAGTCGCCTTGCACGCCGGACAACGAAGTCAGCTTCGCCCAAGCGAGGGCGGGGCCTTTTCTCGTCAATTATGGGAAGGGGCGAAATACAGCAAGCGTGAGTAGGAACGAGGAGCCAAGCTAGGGAAAAGGGGGAAGTGCACCTAATGAGAGTGGGGAAGTGGACGAGGAGCGACTTGATGGGCAGGCTGTTGGCATCGGCACACTTGAGGGAGAAGCGTAAATCAAACACCGCCCTGGTGGGCCGGCAGGCAAGCGGCAGCATGGTGGGGCAGGAACATGTAATGGAAGAGGAGGGACAGATTAGCCGATGGAAATAATGGTGAGATGACTGTGAGGAGGGGAATGGAAGGACAAGTCGGGAGAAAACATGTGTGAGGATAGGGGCCAAGTATGAAGGAATTAGTCACAACGAGAAAGGGGAATAAGAGGTCACTGCCTTCTCACTTGCTGTCATCAAATGGCACGGGCTTGTCGAACACGATGGAGTAGAGCGACGAGCGGATCACGGCCCGCGTGGGCGCCATGCCGCCCGGCCCTGCAGCAGCCTTCGCGGCATCAATGGCCCGCTGCTGCTTGTACCTGGCGAGGCGGAGCAGTGGGGATGTGGAGGGGAATGGATGAGCAGATCGAAAGATCCGTGCTCCCTACACCATACAGTGTTGCTCCCTACACCATACGGTGTTGATCCCTACACCACACAGTGTTGCTCCCTACACCATACGGTGTTGATCCCTACACCACACAGTGTTGCTCCCTACACCATACGGTGTTGATCCCTACACCACACAGTGTTGCCCCCTAAACCACACCGTGCTGCTTTGTACAACACACGGTGTTGCTTTCTACACCACACCGTGTTGCACCCCACATCGCTGGTCAGCGTGACGAGTGCGCAGCAGCAGGAAGAGGGAAGCAGCCCTGGGTGCTGCGGCGGCAAGGAGCCCGTTGAAATTAAGTTGTTATCCGCGCACCATTGACCACCAGCATTCAAACTTGCCACTTAGGTTTGACAACGCGGTTCCCGGGTGTAAACACATGCTCTGGCCGGCCGAGCCTGCCCTCAGCCGCGGTCGGCTAAGGTGGAGCCACTGTTGGCCCGTCACATTGGTCCGCAGCTTGGGCCGGCACCCGCGCTGGCCCGGACTGGCCCGGCCGGCACCACCCTGGCCCGACCCAGACTAGCACGGTCTGGTCCGTGCTCGTTCAATTTCTACCCTATAAGGTTGAATTGAACCAGGGTGCTATGCGTATCAGAAGGTGGAGTAGCAATGAGGGGCGCAACCACAGTGGGCGGAGGAGCAACAGAGGGTAGACTTGATGGTTGCTGAACACGATAAAAGTGTAAAGTTCTAGACAAGCAGCAGCGGGTACATATGAGGGCTTGAAATGCTGTCAGCCAGGTGCCTGAGTGCCTTTTGGTTCTCAAGTGCATACAGGTGCGCAAGGTTTATACAGCGAGCAACATGTGCTTCGCCATTGACGCGTTCAAGCACTCATCAAGGCGACAAGATAAGGCTTGACGGGTCTTACTCGAGTAATTCTAGTCTTGCATTTCCGCCAGATGAACAAACATTGATACTCGGATGCTTTTAGTAGCGCGAGTTGAGGTTTTACCCGAGTGGAATGGTGATGCATACCAGAGCGTGGAGTCGGGCATACCAGAGCGTGGAGGAGTCGGGCATACCAGAGCGTGGAGGAGTCGGGCATACCAGAGCGTGGAGGAGTCGGGCATACCAGAGCGTGGAGGAGTCGGGCATACCAGAGCGTGGAGGAGTCGGGCATACCAGAGCGTGGAGGAGTCGGGCATACCAGAGCGTGGAGGAGTCGGGCATACCAGAGCGTGGAGGAGTCGGGCATACCAGAGCGTGGAGGAGTCGGGCATACCAGAGCGTGGAGGAGTCGGGCATACCAGAGCGTGGAGGAGTCGGGCAGCAGGCCGAAGAAGATCCCCCCGGGGGCGAGCAGCGCCGCCACGTTGGCGAGGAACTGCGACGCCGTGCGCTGCGATGCAAACCAGTCCTGCCCGCCCACACGATGGTTGGGGGGGTTTGAGGGGTGGAGGGGGAGGGGTTATGTGGGGTTAAGTGAGCAGGTGGGTGGGTCAGAGTTGGGGTGGTTGCATGCAAGAGCAAAAGGCGGTGATTAAGAACAGGGAAAGCGAAAGGCGGTGATTAAGAACAGGGAAAGCAAAAGGCGGTGATTAAGAACAGGGAAAGCTGGCATTGAAAAGAAAATACAAACACCATACTAAGTGTCAGGGTTCAAACATGCACCTGCACGCGAGGGCTGCAGCAGACAACGTTGAATGGCGTGAGGCGCCCCACCGCGGGCAGTGAGAGCTGCGCCTGCAGGAAGACGGCGGTCGGGCAGAAGGTAAGAACCCAGCTCATTTCTTTGGCTCTTACACTTGAGATGGTTCTGGTCTCGAACCAGAGAGCAGCCAATCCGATGGTTCACCATTACGAGCCAAAGCGGGCCATGCGTGATTTCGGTAAAACAAACAAGGTTTCTTCCCAGTAAAACATATGACAGATAGGTTGTTCTTTTTGTAATTGACATGAGATGCTCTTGAATGGGTCAAAGAGGAACTCGGAAAAATCAGCTGCAACTCTCTCTTTTTCCACTACGCATACAAGGGAGGGGTCGGCGTAGTGGAAGGCATACGAGGGAGGGGTCGGCGTAGTGGAAGGCATACGAGGGAGGGTTCGGCGTAGTGGAAGGCATACGAGGGAGGGGTCGGCGTAGTGGAAGGCATACGAGGGAGGGGTCGGCGTAGTGGAAGGCATACGAGGGAGGGGTCGGCGTAGTGGAAGGCATACGAGGGAGGGGTCGGCGTAGTGGAAGGCATACGAGGGAGGGGTCGGCGTAGTGGAAGGCATACGAGGGAGGGGTCGGCGTAGTGGAAGGCATACGAGGGAGGGGTCGGCGTAGTGGAAGGCATACGAGGGAGGGGTCGGCGTAGTGGAAGGCATACGAGGGAGGGGTCGGCGTAGTGGAAGGCATACGAGGGAGGGGTCGGCGTAGTGGAAGGCATACGAGGGAGGGGTCGGCGTAGTGGAAGGCATACGAGGGAGGGGTCGGCGTAGTGGAAGGCATACGAGGGAGGGGTTGGCGTAGTGGAAGGCATACGAGGGAGGGGTCGGCGTAGTGGAAGGCATACGAGGGAGGGGTCGGCGTAGTGGAAGGCATACGAGGGAGGGGTCGGCGTAGTGGAAGGCATACGAGGGAGGGGTCGGCGTAGTGGAAGGCATACGAGGGAGGGGTCGGCGTAGTGGAAGGCATACGAGGGAGGGGTCGGCGTAGTGGAAGGCATACGAGGGAGGGGTCGGCGTAGTGGAAGGCATACGAGGGAGGGGTCGGCGTAGTGGAAGGCATACGAGGGAGGGGTCGGCGTAGTGGAAGGCATACGAGGGAGGGGTCGGCGTAGTGGAAGGCATACGAGGGAGGGGTCGGCGTAGTGGAAGGCAGACGAGGGAGGGGTCGGCGTAGTGGAAGGCATACGAGGGAGGGGTCGGCGTAGTGGAAGGCATACGAGGGAGGGGTCGGTGTAGTGGAAGGCATACGAGGGAGGGGTCGGCGTAGTGGAAGGCATACGAGGGAGGGGTCGGCGTAGTGGAAGGCATACGAGGGAGGGGTCGGCGTAGTGGAAGGCATACGAGGGAGGGGTCGGCGTAGTGGAAGGCATACGAGGGAGGGGTCGGCGTAGTGGAAGGCATACGAGGGAGGGGTCGGCGTAGTGGAAGGCATACGAGGGAGGGGTCGGCGTAGTGGAAGGCATACGGGGGAGGGGTCGGCGTAGTGGAAGGCATACGAGGGAGGGGTTGGCGTAGTGCAAGGCATACGAGGGAGGGGTCGGCGTAGTGGAAGGCATACGAGGGAGGGGTCGGCGTAGTGGAAGGCATACGAGGGAGGGGTCGGCGTAGTGGAAGGCATACGAGGGAGGGGTCGGCGTAGTGGAAGGCATACGAGGGAGGGGTCGGCGTAGTGGAAGGCATACGAGGGAGGGGTCGGCGTAGTGGAAGGCATACGAGGGAGGGGTCGGCGTAGTGGAAGGCATACGAGGGAGGGGTCGGCGTAGTGGAAGGCATACGAGGGAGGGGTTGGCGTAGTGGAAGGCATACGAGGGAGGGGTCAGCGTAGTGGAAGGCATACGAGGGAGGGGTCGGCGTAGTGGAAGGCATACGAGGGAGGGGTCGGCGTAGTGGAAGGCATACGAGGGAGGGGTCGGCGTAGTGGAAGGCATACGAGGGAGGGGTCGGCGTAGTGGAAGGCATACGAGGGAGGGGTCGGCGTAGTGGAAGGCATACGAGGGAGGGGTCGGCGTAGTGGAAGGCATACGAGGGAGGGGTCGGCGTAGTGGAAGGCATACGAGGGAGGGGTCAGCGTAGTGGAAGGCATACGAGGGAGGGGTCGGCGTAGTGGAAGGCATACGAGGGAGGGGTCGGCGTAGTGGAAGGCATACGAGGGAGGGGTCGGCGTAGTGGAAGGCATACGAGGGAGGGGTCGGCGTAGTGGAAGGCATACGATGTCAGAAATAGGCTTAGAAGTGATGATTAGTAATGAGCTTGAAGCTCTTTAAGTACATCCAAGAGGGGTAGGAAAAGGATGGGGAAGGGAATCGGGGGGAATCGGGGATTGGGGGTAATCCCAAGGCAATCTCCAATTGGTGGGTTGGAGATTGGTTAAAGATTACATTTGGGTTTGGTTGGGATGTAGGTGTACACCCAACCAAACACAATGTGCAAACTACACTACTCTAGGATATAGAAAATACAAAGTACAAATTGTGAGATTGAAGACTAACACTAACACCCCCCCATAGGCGTCAATCGAACTCAGGGTAGAGAGGGTGGAGCACAGAGCCCCATGGCGCCAAGGAGACGGTGGTGGGGAACTTTCCCAAGGGGCTTGGTGAACAGATCAGCCAGGTTGCAGTCAGATGCAACGTATTCCACTTTCAACTGCTCTTGTTGGACAAGGTCACGGATGAAGAAGTGCCGGAGTTCAATGTGCTTGGTGCGGGTGTGATACACAGGGTCTTGAGAGATGTGGATGGTACTCTGGTTGTCACACCAGAGGGTGGGGGCGGACTGTGGGAAACCAAGTTCCTGGAGGAGGAAGGTGAGCCAACGAGCCTCCTGAGCAGCCATGGTGCCTGCGTAGAGCTCTGCCTCACATGAGGAGAGGGAGACTGCAGACGACCTGGTGGAGCGCCAACTGACAATTCCGCTCCCAAGGGTGAAGCAGTACCCCTGAGAGGAGCGTCGGTCGGTCTGGTCATCAGCCCAGGAGGAGTCGGTGTAACCCTCTAGGCGAGGAGGGGAGAGCCCACCGAGTGTGAGGACGTGAGACTTGGTGCCCTGAAGATAGCGCAGCACCCGCTTGGCTGCCTTCCAGTGAAGATCAGTGAAGCGTCCAGGGGCCACGTAGCGAGAGAGGACACTGACAGGATAGGCCAGGTCTGGCCGGGTGCACATCATGGCGTACATGAGGGACCCAACAAGCTCCGGGTATGGCTCAGAGCAGGCCTCTGGTGTGGGTACCGCTGGAGCTGTGAGGAGGTGGTGCAGCAGCAGCGGGGTGGCAACAGGTGTGCATAGCTCCATCTCAAATCGCTTGAGCACATTGTCGATGTAGAACTCCTGGGAGAGTGAGATGGTGCGAGCCTTGCGATCACGAGTGATCTCCATCCCCAGGTAGTGCTTGAGGTCACCGAGGTCTTTCATCTGGAGAGCCTTGCTTAGGGCTGCCTGGACTGAGGTCATCTGGGCCGAGTCCTTGGCCACGAGGATGAAATCATCCACGTAGACTAGGATGTAGAAGGGCTCAGAATGACGGCGGATGAAGAGAGTCGGGTCAGCAGTTGAAGGGTGGAAGTCCAGGGAGAGGAGGACTTCTTTCACCTTGTTGTGCCATTCGCGAGGGGCTTGCTTAAGGCCGTAGACGGGGCGATTCAGCTTCCAGACAGTGTTGGGAGGGAAATCTCCTGGGAAGCCTTCTGGTCTGTCCATGAACACTGTCTCCTTGAGACGTCCTTGTAGGAAGGCGGATGAGGCATCCATGGATTTGATCTCAAAGTCTTCTCGAGCTGCGACATCCATGAGCGTACGAATGGTGGGAGGTTTGGATGTGGGGGAGAAGGTTAGGAAGAAGTCGCGGTACTGCTGCTGGGTGAAGCCCTTGGCTACGTAGCGCGCTTTAAACACCGGTGCCTCGTCTGGGAGCTGTTTTACACGGAACAACCACTTGCCCCCGACGATGTTGACTCCTGGAGGTGGAGTCTCGTCGTCGAAGGAGTGGTTGCGGGTGAATGCTGCAATCTCCGCGTCCATGGCAGCACGCCATTCGGCAGCATGAGGGCCTGAGAGAGCCTCTTGGACGGTGAGAGGGATAGGGATGGTCGGGTTCTCCGCGAAGTTGAGGGAGGGTGAGCCAGTGATGTCGGGGAAGATGTGTGAGAGCTGAGGAAGGACTGCATGGAGATCACACAGTTCCTCATGCCTGTCTTCTAGAAGGGTAGAGGGCACATCCCCCCCAGCAGGAGGAGGCGGTGTGATCGCGGTGTATCGAAGAACCATCGCGAGTGGAAGAGTAGCGCGATGTGAGCGAGTGCCATGAGCCACCGGGGAAGAGGGTGGGGCTGGCGGGGTCGGAGAGGGTGACTTAGCAGGCTTGGGCGGGGGAAGGGGTCGCCGGCGGTACGTGATCAGCTCGGGCGACTGTGGGAGAGCGGGTTCCTCTGTGGTGGGGGGAGCCGGGGGAGGAGGTGGGGCCGGAGGGTGGGACCGCCGATGGTAGGTGATAGGTGCGCTCGGAGGGGGCGGCGCAGCGGGAAGTGGGGAAGGTGAGGGGGAGGGAGGAGCAGCTGCCGAAGACACCGGTGAGGCCGGGTCAGTGACCTCAGAGGGAGATGGTGCGATGGCAGGAGAGGGAGGAGGTGAGGGAGCAGGAGCAGGCGGGAGGTCGGGAGGCGCATCAAAGTCTGCCCACACGAGGGAGGGTGGATCAGGGAGAGGGTCCCGTCCCGAAGGGGAGTAGAATGGGCGGGTCTCATCAAAGACAACGTCGCGGCTCCTGACCAACTGTTGAGTGGAGGGATTGAGGAAGAGGTAGTCAGGTGAGTCGGCGTTGTGCCCGAGGTAGATGCACGTCTGAGTCTTGGGACCGAGCTTGCCACCGTTATGCCGTCGAGCCTGAGGGTTGAGGAGGACATAGGCGGTGCATCCCCAAACGCGAAGAGAGCGAGCAGTGGGCGTTTTCCCGAGCCAGAGTGTGGTTGGAGTGGTGTCGGGAAGGTGCGGGTGGGGGTAAAGGTTGTAGAGGAGGGCAGCGTGGTAGAGAGCGTACCCCCAAAGAGAGTGAGGAGCGTTGGAGTGGCTGAGGAGGCACCGAGTGATCTGCACCAGGGTGTGGTTGCGGCTCTCAGCTATGCCGTTCTGTTGAGGGCTGTCAGGGAGGGTGAAGTTTTGCTGGATGCCTTCGGAGGAGCAGAAGGCTTTGAGCTTGTCGTTGCAGAACTCACCCCCCCCATCCGAGTGAAGGCGCTTGACCTTGCGGTCAAAAGTGGTCTGTGCCTGCTTGACCCACGCTATGATGACCTCGGGTGCCTCAGCCTTAGTGTGGAGGAGGTGAACAGAGACATAGCGGGAGTGGTCATCCACAATGATAAGGAAGTAGCGATAGCCACCTCGTGCGAGAACAGGGGCAGGGCCCCAGACGTCCATGTGCACGAGGTCCAGTGGTGCTGCAGCGATTGTGGGTGAGGCAGCATGGGGTTGTTGGCGCAGTTTGCTCTTGGTGCAATCAAGGCACGTGGGAGCTGGTGAGTCAGGTGGTGGGGGAAGTGCGGCTGGCAGGCCGAGGAGAAGTTTCTTGGAGGCCATGTCAGCAAGAGTGCGGAAATTTGGGTGCCCGAGCCGATGGTGGTAGAGGATGGTCGGGTTGGAGAGGGTGCGACATGAGCATGGTGTGATAGTGGCCTGTGCTTGGGTGGTTGACACCTGTGGGAGAGGGACGCGTAGCGTGTAGAGGCCGTTGCTGTTGAGGGTGTAGCGGGCCAGAGTTTTGTTGGTGCGTGGATCGATGATGTCGCAATAGTCCTCGTTCTCTGGGAAGATGGTGCGTAGCCCTGCCTCCTGAATTTCTGTTTGGGCAACTAGATTGTGACGCAGTGAAGGCACGCACATGCCAGTGACAGTGCCGGATGGGAAGGCGGGGCATGGGACTGTGGAGGTACCCTTGGCGAGGGTGGTGAAGCTTGAGTCAGCTCCTAAGAGAGGGATAGGTGTTGGGTAAGGTTTGAAGGAGAGGGTCTCCTTGAGCACGGTGTGAGTGGCCCCGCTATCGAGTGTGAACTCTATGTATTGTGGTGCGTGTGATGAGCCGATGTACTGTGAGGTAGCTTCATTAATCATGGCAGTGCCAGGGAACAACAGGTTGATACGCACATCAGCAGGAGCAGCATCACTAGCACTAGTCGAAGCGGGGTCCTGGACCTCAACTAGGTTGGCCTTGCGAGAGCGCATCCAATTCGGCGGCTTCTTGTCCACTCCGTGAATGGCGTACCATTCGTCGTCTTTCTTCTTGAAGCACGTGGCGAGGGGGTGGTTAGTGCCACCACACACTTGTCCCTTGCGATTCCCATACTTGACGACGTAGGGGCACGGAGGAAAGCGGTTGCGCTGGAAGGGCGCCGAGGCGAGAGCCGCTGCGACACTTGCTTGAGGCATGGGAGCGCGGATAGCGTACGCCTTGGCCTGAGCCGTGGAGTCTTTCTCGGCAGAGAGGAGTGCGGTGGAGACCTTAGCAAAGGTGAGGTCCTCTGCTGAGAGTGTGAGGAGCATCTTCCTCGTGACCTCATATGCCGAGGTGAGTCCAACAAGTAGGGCGGCTGCAGGGGCTTGCTCGGGGAAGACTATACCCAGCTCCTTGAGTTCGCCATGAATGGTCTGCACCTTGGCAATGTAATCGGCCATTCCCGAGCAGTCCTCAAGGCGGACCTGAAACATGCTAGGGATGAGAATGGCCACGCCGACCGCCGTCTTGTTCATGAACCGATCCTGGAGGTACTTCCAGATGGCGTTGGAGGTAGGGTAGTTATGGAACGTGTTGACAAGTTCGGGAGGGGTGGAGGCGATGAAGACGCTGATGATGGCAGCATCGGCCTTCTCCCATTTCCGGTACTTCTCAACAGCCTCCTCGTACGCCCTCACGTCAGTATCACTTGAAGATTCGGTCGGCTCACGGGGAATAGTAGGCTGTTTCCCCTTGCCACGGTTGAGGAGGACGTCCTTGAGGTCAAGGCCCTGCACGTCACGGCTCAGGAGGTGCTTGTCAACTCCGTAGCTCCACGCCTTGAAGTTGGAGCTAGAGCCATCAGCTTCAAGGCGGAGCGGGGTGATGGGGTTCGCCATGGTGGAAGACGAGAGAGCCATGGTGGAGACCCCTTCTCGCGCGGAGCGCCGCTCTTAAGTCACCGCTCTTGAGCGGCGCGCAGCGCGGCGATTCCGAAATCCGACGGACCGGAATAGCGAAAATCGTCAATGTCGGCCGCGTCGGAATGTCACGTAGAAGGTTTTTTTTTTTTTTTCCGTAGATCTATCACTAATCCCACACACCCCCCCACACACCACCCTCAGCTTCGCGGCTGCGCTGCTGCTCGGCTTCGCGGCTACACGGCTGCTCTGCTTCGCGGCTACACGGCTGCTCGGCTGCGCTGCTGCACCTGTTCAGCTGCGGGAAGGGGGAAGGGGTAGGAGTGCAGATGCGGGGCGACGGGCGGCAGCCCGACGTGAAGCTGCGGGGCGACGGGCGGCAGCCCGACGAGAAGCTGCGGGGCGACGGGCGGCGGCCCGACGTGAAGCTGCGAGGCGACGGGCGGCGGCCCGACGAGAAGCTGCAGGGCGACGGGCGGCAGCCCGACGAGAAGCTGCAGGGCGACGGGCGGCGGCCCGACGAGGAGGAAAGCGAGCGTTAGGTTATAGCGCGGACGATGCGCTTACCAGAGAAATTTCCGTCGAAAGTGATGGGAAGGTGCAGCGGGAGAATTTCCGCCGACGAATGTCGCGAATCACCGGCGACGAGGTTGACGATGGCTTCGCCGAGGTTTGCGGGACGAGTATCCGCAGAGGTAAGAAGATCACGATCCGCGTATGCGGTTGAAGGGCTCTGATACCATGTCAGAAATAGGCTTAGAAGTGATGATTAGTAATGAGCTTGAAGCTCTTTAAGTACATCCAAGAGGGGTAGGAAAAGGATGGGGAAGGGAATCGGGGGCAATCTCTAGGGATTGGGGGTAATCCCAAGGCAATCTCCAATTGGTGGGTTGGAGATTGGTTGGAGATTACATTTGGGTTTGGTTGGGATGTAGGTGTACACCCAACCAAACACAATGTGCAAACTACACTACTCTAGGATATAGAAAATACAAAGTACAAATTGTGAGATTGAAGACTAACACTAACACCCTACGAGGGAGGGGTCGGCGTAGTGGAAGGCATACGAGGGAGGGGTCGGCGTAGTGGAAGGCATACGAGGGAGGGGTCGGCGTAGTGGAAGGCATACGAGGGAGGGGTCGGCGTAGTGGAAGGCATACGAGGGAGGGGTCGGCGTAGTGGAAGGCATACGAGGGAGGGGTCGGCGTAGTGGAAGGCATACGAGGGAGGGGTCGGCGTAGTGGAAGGCATACGAGGGAGGGGTCGGCGTAGTGGAAGGCATACGAGGGAGGGGTCGGCGTAGTGGAAGGCATACGAGGGAGGGGTCGGCGTAGTGGAAGGCATACGAGGGAGGGGTCAGCGTAGTGGAAGGCATACGAGGGAGGGGTCGGCGTAGTGGAAGGCATACGAGGGAGGGGTCGGCGTAGTGGAAGGCATACGAGGGAGGGGTCGGCGTAGTGGAAGGCATACGAGGGAGGGGTCGGCGTAGTGGAAGGCATACGAGGGAGGGGTCGGCGTAGTGGAAGGCATACGAGGGAGGGGTCGGCGTAGTGGAAGGCATACGAGGGAGGGGTCGGCGTAGTGGAAGGCATACGAGGGAGGGGTCGGCGTAGTGGAAGGCATACGAGGGAGGGGTCGGCGTAGTGGAAGGCATACGAGGGAGGGGTCGGCGTAGTGGAAGGCATACGAGGGAGGGGTCGGCGTAGTGGAAGGCATACGAGGGAGGGGTCGGCGTAGTGGAAGGCATACGAGGGAGGGGTCGGCGTAGTGGAAGGCATACGAGGGAGGGGTCGGCGTAGTGGAAGGCATATGAGGGAGGGGTCGGCGTAGTGGAAGGCATACGAGGGAGGGGTCGGCGTAGTGGAAGGCATACGAGGGAGGGGTCGGCGTAGTGGAAGGCATACGAGGGAGGGGTCGGCGTAGTGGAAGGCATACGAGGGAGGGGTCGGCGTAGTGGAAGGCATACGAGGGAGGGGTCGGCGTAGTGGAAGGCATACGAGGGAGGGGTCGGCGTAGTGGAAGGCATACGAGGGAGGGGTTGGCGTAGTGGAAGGCATACGAGGGAGGGGTCAGCGTAGTGGAAGGCATACGAGGGAGGGGTCGGCGTAGTGGAAGGCATACGAGGGAGGGGTCGGCGTAGTGGAAGGCATACGAGGGAGGGGTCGGCGTAGTGGAAGGCATACGAGGGAGGGGTCGGCGTAGTGGAAGGCATACGAGGGAGGGGTCGGCGTAGTGGAAGGCATACGAGGGAGGGGTCGGCGTAGTGGAAGGCATACGAGGGAGGGGTCGGCGTAGTGGAAGGCGGCGCCATACGGGGCGCCGTGCGCGCGCCACTCCTCCGCAGCCTCCTCCAGCGACGACGGCGTCACGTCTGCCCGCCCGCCCCCCACCCAGCCGTGCCATTGGAGCGAGGGCAGAGGGAATGGGGGAGGGGGGAAGGAGTTGGGGGAAGTGGGTTGGAAGGAAGGCGGAGTGGTGTGCACGACAAAACGAAGTAAAGGCAGGCCGGAGGGGAGATAAAGAGGAGGGGAGATAAAGAGGAGGGGCTCACACGCAGCGAGCGGCGGACTACTCGACGCCCACGTGGCACTCACCGGTGCCCACGTGGCACTCACCGACGCCCACGTGGCACTCACCGACGCCCACGTGGCACTCACCGACGCCCAGGTAGGAGGCGATGCGCGCGTTGACCCACAGCGGCGTGTCCTCACCGCGGCCACAGAACATCTCACACACCTGCCACCACTCACACGCGCGCACAGAGGGGCGCGCACAGAGGGGCGCGCACAGAGGGGCGCGCACAGAGGGGCGCACACAGAGGGGCGCACACAGAGGGGCGCACACAGAGGGGCGCACACAGAGGGGCGCACACAATGCGCGGGGTGAGCATGCATGCATCGTCTGAGCCATGCTTACACTAAGCAATCCCTCTCACGTCTTTTTCCCTCGTCCCTGCTCCTCCTCGTCCCCCCAAAAGCTCTACCGCCCCCCACCGCTCGCTGCGAGGGGGCATGCTACTCTGCCAGGGGGCATGCTACTCTGCCAGGGGGCATGCTACTCTGTGATCCGCTTCCCCCACCGCCCAGCCACCGCCCACCCATCGTCCACCCATCGCCCACCCATCGCCCACCCATCGCCCACCCATCGTCCACCCATCGCCCACCCATCGCCCACCCATCGCCCACCCATCGTCCACCCATCGTCCACCCATCGCCCACCCATCGCCCACCCATCGCCCACCCATCGTCCACCCATCGCCCACCCATCGCCCACCCATCGCCCACCCATCGCCCACCCATCGCCCACCCATCGCCCACCCATCGCCCACCCATCGCCCACCCATCGCCCGGCCATCGCCCAGCCATCGCCCGGCCATGGTGCACCCCTCCTCTCCGAGGGGAGTCCCGGCGGCGTACCTCGTCGCCGGGCGCGACGAGTTCCGCCAGCAGCACGCGCTTCGCCCACTGCTGCAGCCCCGCCAGCTGCGAGCTCGCCGTCGCAGGGGCCATTGCGACGACCGGCGATGCGGCTGCGACGATTCGCGAAGGCCTTTACGGGCTAAGCACGCTGCACGGTGGCGTCGAGCTGTTTGCGTTCAGTGGCGCCCGCCGCGCCGCTTCTCGAATCTCGTGGCGAGCTAGCAGCGTCTCGCTGAGGGAGGCAGTGTCAGCAACAAGGCTGTAGGTTCGGCAGCACAAATCGCCATTACGATAAGCACGGTCTGCGTTTCCTCCACACGATACTCTCCTGTAGGGTGAATGGCTCTAAGGTTCCAAGATACTTACTAATGACGCGATATCTAGCTCAAAGCCCGAGGGCGATGGGAGGGGGAAGCGAGGGCGATGGGAGGGGGGAGCGAGGGCGACGGGAGGGGGGAGCGAGGGCGACGGGAGGGGGGAGCGAGGGCGACGGGAGGGGGGAGTGAGGGCGATGGGAGGGGGGAGCGAGGGCGATGGGAGGGGGAAGCGATGGGAGCTGTGGCGACGGAAGGGGGAAGCGAGGGCGCCGGACGGGGGAAGCGAGGTCGACAGCGCTCTAATTTCTCGTGCCACACATTATCTCCGTGCTTCACACTCGCATTCGCGCCACATTTCCTCCCTCGGTCCTCGGATTCCTCTCGATTCCGGCCTCAAGGTATATGACCTCACATGTCATACCTAGCTAGAACCGAACGTGTTTTTAATTCAATTACAATGACACGTGGTTTTCTCTGACATCGCGACTCTTTTCGCGGTTTCGGCAGGGGGGACATTGTTTTCGTACGTCTGGGCGATTTCGCCAAACCATCCAGCGAGCCCAAAAGTCACACGTTCGATTCAAAGTGCGCACGCTAGTTCATCTAATGAGTCGAGTCGAGTTCATATGTTCAGGTCGCACTTTTAGTGGAAAGGTTTCGCCAGAATTTATCGCGACAATCACGAAATTGGTAACCATGCTAAGTTCGACTGATTTCTGAACCTAGAAAACATCACACGCGCCCTTAGGGCTCGATGTGATCCTTGAATGTTGCAAAAGTTGTAAAAGTTGAAGGGTAATTACCTTCTGGGTAACCAACATGGAGCCCGCTGACGTCAAAAGTCACCTACATGGCTCGATGGTACCCGTCAGATCATGCGCGCCCCTTCGTGGTACCCATCTTCCCTCCGTGGTACCCATCTTCCCTACGTAGTACCCATCAACTGTGCGCGAATTCCCTGACTGGTACCGCAACATTTCAACCGAGCAGTACACCGTATAACATGGGTTTCAATGCATTTTTCAGTATATTGTACCAATGTTCACAAGCTCATTTGAGTTAGAAGCTCGAAGTGCCACATAATCGAGTCAATATATCAAACGCATTAACTATGATATAGCGTAGAAAAAAGATCTGGATGCTTAAAAAACACATTCATTGTGTAGGTTTTTAAGAACATAGGTTACACGCCCTAAGTTCGTCCATAGGGGAAACAACACTGTAAACTCGCAGTCACACACCCAAGGTCGAATGCCGACATTCGACCTTATAGGAAACGCTCCAAGCCGCAGTTCCAAACTATATGTTACCTGGTACAAGCGTCTTGTCGTGGCTTCTCCCTCGTGCCACGGATGTTGCCACGTGGCTAGTCGTCACTAAAACGTGCGCACCCATAGTTGTACCAATTCGGGAGAAGATCACCGAGGGGCCGAACAGTGCCAGAGGGGTGATCAACCAGGGGCCAAGAGGCCCGGAACTTACCAAACCGCTGCTCAAAGAGGTATTAACAAAGGGTCTTGGTTTATTGCACGTAATTATGTTATTAGTGGCATGTACCGGCTCGCATTTTCGCTCGCGTGTCGTTTAGCGAGCCGACTCTACTGGGAACTCTTAGGGCAGCAAAAAAAAACTAAAACTCGTAGGGAACCTGGATGCATTTTCGGGATGGATCAACCCTAAAACCGGAAAGCTTCCTGACATTTAGGGTTGATGCCCCCCGAGTCGCATCCGTTTCCGAATGGGTAACATATTATTTTTCTGCTGCGTTTAAGATCGGGTGGGTGGATCGGGTGGGTGTCCCAAAATATAATGTGTTATACGTACTCACAATTTGATTTTTACTTCCAGAAGAAGGCGACGCGTGCGTTGTAGTAGACGGAGATGAAAACCGTCTTTAAATAAAATAAGCACAAGTTTTGGTTCTTTTAGCAAATCTCTTTTAAGCACGGTTCGGTTTGTTGTCCTAGTCGTGTGGGCAGCTCTGGGTTGAAATCCTACGGTCGAGATTTACCGACCCCACTTTGATCACCCTTCTGGCACTGTTCGGCCCCTGGTTGATCTTTTCCCTACCAATTCCAGCTTTGCGAAGCAGTCGCACGTTTCGTCTGGCCATCGCACGGGTGTAAATCACACACGCTCGCTTGAACGTGCGCACGCACATTCACAACTCCGACTCGAGTCTAGTTCACATTTCACATTCTAATTTTATTAACCCAAAAACTACCAAGCCTTCGCCAAAGGGTCTTGGCAAAATAAGCGAAACGGGTAACCATCCAAAGTTCGACCTTTTTTCCGCACTTCAGAACAGATCATACGCGCCCTTAGTTTCCTAACTCTAATGTTCTATCTGGTACTTAAGTATCTTCTCTCAGCCTGCTCCAAGAGTGCGCTTGTGGACTTGGCGAAAATCCAAGTTGTGAGCTGCGTGATGGTGGTTGGGTTTCGTTTTGTCGTTGCTGTTTGTTCAAGTTACTTGAAGCCAAAGCCAAAGTTGCGATACACTGTGAGACCATTCCGCTTTCGCCACCTATCTATAGCAAATTCTCCTCTCGTTAACCTTCGCACAACCCTTATCAAGTTCAGTATTTTTAGCCCTTGCCATTCTATGCGTCAGCTTTAAGGTTCCAACAGTATCTACCCTAAATAGTGACCCCAACTATTAAAGGGGGATTTACTGTTCCCTTTGAACAGTACTTTCCCAACCCATCCAAGTCATCCCCATCTTATCTTCCAAGATTTCCAAGTGCCGCGTGGCACTCTACTCTTCTAGCTTTCCAATTTCTAGTCCCACAAACTAGTTTCCAACATTCTCTTGTTCGTTATATAAACCTCTCTAGTACTTGCCTATCTCAACCATTTCTCAACCGATCCTCATTCAACTCTTCAATTACTCAGTAACTTCTTCGCCTATTTCGCCAATAGTTCTTTCGCCAAAGTCTTCCGCCTCCTTTTCATCCTCGACTTAGTTGATCCCGCTATTCGTTAAAGCGAGTAGGCAAAATAGTGAAGGGAGGCCCAGCTTGAAATCGAGAGGGTTGAAAGCGCTGTTGCAAAAAGATGGGGCAATGAAGATTGAAACATTTTGTCCAATCCTATCGGCTCCCGCCAGAATACAGATCGCATAGCGGAAAATCAGCGCGCCAAAGTTTTGTGCTTGTGGAAAATTTACGTTCGATCATGCGACACCGTCTGGTTGGGTGGATGGGTGGCAACGGCTCCCATATCTAGTTGGGTTCAACGCTAATTTCAAGTTGGACTTGGGTTCACTTCACTACCTTACTCATCGTTCCAACACCATCTAATATCATAATTAGCAATAATAATACCATAGCGTCAGTAGTTACACCACTGCTATTCCCGAACCACTCTAATATGTGCATCCGCGTAACGCTAACAAGCCCTCGGCGCGTTCTTATTCCTCCCCTTCGCGTCGCCCTCGCTGGCGCGCTCGGCCGGCCCTTCGCCCTCGTTATCTTTCCTCCCTCCCCGTCGCCTTCACTATCTCTCCCTTTCCCGTCGCTCTCGCTATCTCCCGTCCCTCCCTGTCGCGCTCGCTCTCCCCTCCCCTTCCCGTCGCGCACGCCATCTCTCCTCCCCTTCCCGTTGCGCACGCTACCTCTCCTCCCCTTCCAGTCGCGCATGCCATCTCTCCTCCCCTTTCCGTCGCCCACGCCATCTCTCCTCACCTTCCCGCCGCGCACGCCATCTCTCCTCCCCTTCCCGTCGCGCACGCCATCTCTCCTCCTCATCGCGCCGCCCATGCCAACTCTCCTCCCCTTCCCGCCACCCACGCCATCTCTCCTCCCCTTTCCGTCGCCCACGCCATCTCTCCTCCCCTTCCCGCCACCCACGCCATCTCTCCTCCCCTTCCCGTCGCGCACGCCATCTCTCCTCCCCTTCCCGTCGCGCACGCCATCTCTCCTCCTCATCGCGCCGCCCACGCCATCTCTCCTCCCCTTCCCGCCGCCCACGCCATCTCTCCTCCCCTCTCCGTCGCCCGCGCCATCTCTCCTCCCCTTTCCGTCGCCCACGCCATCTCTTCTCCCCTTCCCGTCGCGCGCGCCATCTCTCGTCCCCTTCACTTCGCGCACGCCGTCTCTCCTCCCCTTCTCCGTCGCCTTCACGATATCCTCCCGTCCCTGTCGCCCTCGTTGTCTCCCGGCCCTCCTTGTCGCACTCGCTATCTCCCCTCCCTCCACGTTGCAGTCATTACCCCCCCTCCCTCCTCATCACGCTCGTTATCTTCCCTCCCTCCCCATCACTCTCGTAATCTCCCCTCCCCCCCCGTCGCTCTCGTTATCTCCCATCCCTCCCCATCGCGCTCGTTATCCCCCCTCCCTCCCCATCGCGCTCGTTACCCCCCCTCCCTCCCCGTTAAGCTTCTTATCTCCCCTCCCTCCTCATCGCGCTCGTTATCTCCCCTCCCTCCCTGTGGCCCTCACTTTCACCCCTTTCCTTCCCGTCGCGCTCGCTATTGTCAGAATAGCTAGCAGGAATGGATGAACTAGGATCAAGTTGGGTACAAATATGAAACCCTAAAGGGGGCTATACCCCATATTAGCTACCCCGCTACAGCCTACACATATATGTTACATATATAATTTGACACAACCCCATAGGCATAGTGGGGGAGAACAAGGGGTCACAAGACCAGTCAAGCAAAGCAAAGCAAGCTCAGGGTGGATCACAACGTCACCACACACACTGAGCACAAGCAAAGGGCCACAAAACCAGTCCACATGCAGAGGTATATATGCAACAGGAACAGCACAGTGATCACCACCTAGCAAGAGCAAGCATGCAGGTATATGTATATAGATCACAGTACAAGCAAAGCCTACAACAAGTGTGGAAACGTAGGTACAAGGCCTAACAAGGTACAGAAACGCTGATGATCACCAGACGGAAGTGCCTTGGTGAATATATCAGCGGTGTTGGCCCGCGTGGCCACGTAAGCAAGACGAAGCTGACCTCGCTGCTGCAACTCTCGAGCCAGGAAGTAACGCAGAGCGATGTGCTTCGTTCTGTGCTCGAGTCTGTGCTCCTCACACAAGGCAATGGCCGCCTTGTTGTCAACGTACAGAACTGGAGGAGAACGAGGCCGCTCTCCCAAGTCAGTCAGCAGGTAGGTGAGCCAGCGTAACTCCTGTGCAGCTATGGCTGTGGCGTAGATCTCAGCCTCACAACTGGAGCTGAGAACAGAAGACGAGCGTGTAGACCGCCAAGAAACAGAGCCAGAGCCAAGACTGAAGGTGTAACCCTGTGACGACCGCTGCGTAGCCTGGTCGTCAACCCAAGACGCGTCAGAGTGTCCAGTGAGGACAACGTCACCCCGTCCTCCAAGCACGAGCCCCATGCCCGATGTACTGCACAGGTAGCGCAGTACCCTCTTCGCAGCTTCCCAGTGCACCTTTCGATGCCTACCAGGAGCCACGTAGCGAGCCAGAAGGCCAAGAGGGTACGCAAGGTCAGGTCGAGTGCAGGTCATCAGGTACATGAGGCAGCCCACTAGCTCTGGGTAAGGACCACTCGGCTCTACGGACTCGTCCGAAGGTGGAGCTGAGAGCGAGTGACCTAAAGCCAGAGGAGTGGACTAGGACAAGGTGAAGCCGAAGCGCTGAAGGACCTGCTGCACCATATGTGACTGAGTCAGAGTGATGGTGCGGCGTGCTCGGTCCCGGGTGATCTGCAAGCCAAGGTAGCTGCGCAGCTCACCCAGGTCTGTGCACGTGTGTCTCTTCTGCAGCTCCGACTTCACCAGGGCGAGAGCCTCATTGTCAGCAGTGGCAAAGACCAAGTCGTCGACGTACACGAGGATGTAGAACGGCGGCAGAAAAATGTCAGTGCGCAGAAACAGCGACGGGTCAGCAGTCGAAGGAGCAAACCCAAGAGCCGCAAGTGTCGTCCTCAGTGTGTCGTGCCACTCACGAGGCGCCTGGCGGAGACCGTAGACTGGCCGCCGGAGGCTCCACTGGGTACCAGGAGGGAACGACCCAGTGAAGCCAGGTGGGCGGCGTAGCCAGATCTCCTCGTGCAGGCTGCCCTGTAAGAAGTCTCTGCTGAAGTCAAGAGAGTGAAGCTCGTAGTCACGCTGAGCGGCAACGTGCAGCAGCACCCGAAGAGTGGTCATCTTCGGGGTGGGGGAGAAGGTCTGGAAGAAGTCAACTCCCTCTCGCTGACTGAAGCCTCGAGCAACGTAGCGAGCCTTGAAGACAGGCGGAGAACCCGGCGGCCGCTTCACCCTGAAAATCCACATGCCATCGACGATGTTCGCCCCGGGAGGGGGAACCTCATCGACGTAAGTGCCTGTGGACTTCCAGGATGCCATCTCTGTGTCCATGGCTGCCTGCCACTGAGAGGAGTACTCACCCGCGATCGCCTCAGCGTAAGAGCGCAGGGTCGGGATGTCTAGAGCATCCGGGTCTCCCTCAGGGGCAAGCAGCATGGCCACGAGATGAGGCGCAGCGGCTGCAAGACACTCAAGGTCCTCGTGCCTGTCCTCAAGGACGTCCGTGCCAAGAGCACACTCACCCCCGACGGACGGAGGACAGACAGACTCAGACTTAGCAACAAGGCTAGCAGCGTAGTCTAGACGACAGGCAGCAGCAAAGTCAACAAGCTCAGCGACTAAGGCAGACGCAGCAGCAGACTCAAACGATGGGTCAGTGACAACAGTGGCTAGCAGACGCGTGACAGTAGGGTGCTCAGCACGAAACCGGTCAGACTCAGGGTCCAGAACGTCAGGCAAAGAAGACGCAGGAGGAGACGGCAGAGGAACACGCTGTGGAACAGAGGAAGGACGAAGTGCCATGGTGTGCGTGCCAGAGACAGGAGGAGGACGCTCACGACTAACACGACCAGTGCGACTGGTGCGACCAGTGCGACCAGTGCGAACAGGCGAGACAGGACGGGACGCAGGCTCGCGACGCTCAGTAAGACCTCCTGTCTGCTCAGTGTAAGGAGAGGGAGCAGGCAGGGGGGAGCCTGGCTGTAACGGTAGGCCAGTGGAGAACGGTAGGCTAAGAACCTCCCGAAGCACTGTGTCAGGAGGCGGCAGAGACGACGGTGACGGTGGAGAGTAGAACAGGCGCTGCGCAGCAGTGTCACCGGCACCAGCAGCTCCTGTGCCTCCTGCAGCACCAGAACCCCCAGCAGCTCCAGACCCTCCAGCTCCAGCTCCTCGAGCGCCAGCACCACTAGCAGCCGCAGAACCTCCAGCGCCAGCACCGCCAGTACCAGCGTCACCAGCAGTAGCACCGCCAGCATTGGCAGCTCCAGACCCAGCGTCTCCAGCAGCAGCACCCCCAGACGCAGCACCCCCAGGCGGAACTGGCACCCCCAGCTCCAGGGACATCAGCAGAAGCGCCTCTAGCGGCAGAGCCCCGAGCTCCAGCAGCGCGACCCTGACGGCGAGCGTACCACTCGTGCAACTGATGTGGGGAGAGAGGCGCACGCGGACGAAGGCGGCTACTCCAAGGAGACCGCGGACAAGTAGTCTTAGTATCCTCAGGCGCCGTACCCCCAGACCCAGCACCCCCTGGCTCCTCACGCTCAGGCTCAGCACCCCCAGACTCAGCACCCCCAGACGTAACACCCCTAGGCGTAGCATCTCCAGTCTCCTCACGCTCAGGCTCAGCACCTCCAGACTCAGCACCCCCAGACGCAGCACCCCCAGGCGCAGCACCTCCAGTCTCCTCGCGCTCAGGCTCAGCACCTCAAGACTGAGCACCCCCAGACGCAACACCCCCAGGCATAGTACCTCCAGCCTCCTCATGCTCAGGTCCAGCACCTCCAGGCCCCACACGCTCAGGCTCGGCACCCCCAGACCCAGCACCCCCAGGCTCTGCACGCTCTGTTTCATCACTCCGACGTAGCACCCCGAGCACCCCCAGCAGGACCCGAGTCACCAGTGACCTCAACAGGCGCAGGCACAGGAGGGTCTACCTGAGAAACACCTGAAGGAGCAGGACCTGGCGCGGGGAGGGGGTCTACCTGGGGAGGACCTGGAGCGAGAAAGAGCGGAGGGGGGGGGCGAGCGGCAATGCGGTAGGGAAAGAGACGGTAAAAGGGGACCGACTCGTCGAAGGTGACGTCCTGAGACGCAAAGACACGGCGCGAAGCGGGGTCGTAAAACTGCCAGTCATGCGCGTCAGGAGGAAAACCAAGGAAGACGCAGGGAATGGCGCGAGTGGAGAGCTTGTCCGCGGTGGTATCGCGGACAAAGGCACGAGCACCCTAGACCCGGAAACGCGACGCATCGCCAACCTCCCCCGTCCACAGCAGTGTGGGCGAGGTCTTCGGCAAGGAGACACGGGGCCAGAGGTTGAGCTGATGCGCGGCGTACCGGACCGCAAACGGCCACAGAAAATGGGGGGCAGCCGCATGGATCATGGAGGTACGAGCGACCTCCATGACTAAGCCAATGCGGCGCTCAGCAACCCCATTCTGCTTCGGAGAGGCCGGAAGCGTGAACGACTGGCGGATGCCGTGCTCCTCACAGAAAGCTCGCAAGAGGTCGGAGGAGAACTCACCACCTCTGTCAGAGTGCAGACGCAGGACAGGAAAGTCCGAGTGGAACCGCTCACGGAGCTGGAGACGAACAGCGCGGATCCAGGGGATCAGAACATCAGGGACCTGACCCTTGCTGCGCAAGGGGAAGACCGTGGTGTAACGCGTGTAGTCGTCAACGACCAGCAGGAAGTACCGCTCGCGGCCCTGCCCCTGGACGCGGGCTAGGCCCCACACGTCCAGGTGGAGAGTCTGCAGTGGAGCCTCTATGGGAGGGAACGAGGAGGAGTGAGGAGCAGCGCGCTGCCGCCCCTCGACGCAAGGAATGCAGGGCGGCGCAGGCGAGGGTGGGAGAGCGGGCAGAGACCTGGGAAGACCAGAAACCAGGAAGCGAGAGTGCATGCCACGAAGGCGGGGTAGAGAGGGGTGACCAAGGCGGTGGTGCCAGAGGAGAGTCTGGTGCAACAGACGGCGACACTCACACTGGGTAGCTACCTGAGCGGACGCGTACAGCTGAGGAGACACAGGGGTGTAGCGCGACACAGTGGTGAGGGTGTACAGACTGGACCCTGGCGCACGTGTGAACGTGGCCAGGTGGCGGCCAGTCCTAGAGCACGTACAGATTGCCACACGCTGTCCTCCAGGAGTAAAGGTGTCAACCCAGTGATCCTGAAGGACGGCGTTGCTCACCAGGTTCGTCGAGAACGAGGGGAGGTGGAGACCTGACAGCTCACCGGACGGGACCGCCGGACACGGGAGCACAGTACTGGACCGTGCAAGCACTGGGCCCCCAGAGGGGTCAGCCAGTGAGACAGGGATAGGGGCAGGGAGGGGAGTGACTGTGGTGCTGTCGCGAAAGAAATAGCGGGAAGCACCTGAGTCAAGCGTGAAGGTGTGCAAGGCCTCAGCAGGTGCAGTACAAGAGAGCGCAGACTCACTAGCACCTAGGGCTGCAGTCTCTATACCTGGGTCAGGCGGAACGCACAAGTAGCAGT